ACGAGAAGACTTATCGGGTAAATGTGTTGATTCTCTGGAGAATGACATGTCTCACGCAACCGGTCTTAAGCAGTCCATTCGCGTATCGTTTACTCTATAAAAACTCACAAACGACTCAATTCTCGTCCCGCTACGATCCCTTTTGTCCTCCCAAATTCGTCGGGAACGTGATCAACATCGCGGAGCGGGCTCTTGTATCTAGATTCCATCTTCCCGCGGCTCTCTTCCTGCTCCTTCGTACATTCGTCCCCGGGAAAATGAGCCCGACAACCAGTCGCCGCGACCCGGTTCGCTTTCCCCGCAGGGCTCTATTCGGTGCCTCCTGGTTCGGCGTATGTCATGCAGCCGCGATTTTGGGCCCGCTCGCGAGCATCCGCGTACGTGTCGCGCATGTGCGAGCATCTGATACAGCCGTAACAAATGACATCGTCGAACTGGCGTATGGTCGCCGGGGCTTGGGGGCTGTATCTCTTCATCTCGCGAGCGGGACGAGGACGGTGCAAGTATTGTCGGGCCCGACGAGGCCGCGGGCCTCGTCGGGCCCGGGACAACACTTGACCGATCGGTCAGCGGACTGACCGGAATAAGGATTGTCGCGCCAACGTCCCGTCGATGTAAGGGAGAGTCGGTCAGTACTTATGCCGCGGTTTAAGGGTGGCTTAAGCGGGCCCTAGTTAGAAGACATGACGCCGGATTATGAGGCCGACCGGGGGAAGACTTTCGTTGTAACACGTGTTGCTAACCGGTTTCACCTTAATTGTCTTAAACGGGCACCATCATAATTCTGGGTTTATCTCTCGAGGCGGCAACGCCGTGTGGCTCGACGCCGCGACGTCTTTCGTCGTCGTCCACTCGCGGCGATTTCATAATCTAATGGTAATGAATCTCGAAATCGACGAAGCAATCTCTTATATGTACTTGAAAATACACAGAAAAAAAGTAAGTGTCAAAGTAACATTTATATACTTAAACTAACGCGTTCATTGTTTCGTATATACGCAACAATGTATAATCTTCTTAGAAGAATTTAATAATTTTAAATTTCACCAATATTATAGTCTTACTTTAATATTGCAATTGTCATCTCAAGAATATATAATTATTTAATTCTACTTTAAGAAAATTATAATCTTTGATTTAAAAATGTTATTTCCTATCCAACATTGTTTCTTTTCCATTCAAGAAAATTAAATCTTAAATTATAAGAATATATTTTTCTTGATTGAACCATATAAAATGACTTCATTTAAGTAAGCATACAAGCAATTATATTTTTCTTTAATTAACGCAATATAATCTCATTTCAAGATTTCCATGTTAAAACTAAATATATTTTCAAAACAAGAATGTCCTTTTTTTCTGTGTAGTGTAATAAGGAGAATAAGCTGAGATTGAACTATTAAATGATGATATGCATTATAATTGTGAAAGCAAAGCGAAACTTGACATTGTTATTATAGCCAAAAGCGACTTCATTACCAGATAAAATGAAATATGATCATGATTTATAATACAAAAATGTCGACTTATAGTGGACACTTTCTTAAAGTTTGTATTATACTTCGATAATTTTTACTTTTCCCTTATTATTATAATTTTATTTTTAATTCTTACTTATTTTAATTTCTATGTTTTTCTTTTTTTTTTATTTCTAAAAAAAATATATAGAAACCCTCTTAATATAAAGAAACTTTGGGTCATATTTTAGCAGCGAAGGTTTACGAGGCGCGGTAAAACATGATACTTGATAAGATACGAAAGGCCGGCCTGAAAAATTCGGGACCCCAGGTCGTGTCCTGACGATCGTGAAAGAAGGGCCGGGGCCGAAATTAGGTTTGCGAGGCACGTTTTTCCCTCGTGATGCGGCGCGAAGAGGACGCGGCTTTCGGTTCACCATGCGACGGTGTCAGGATGTTAACCATGAAGTATCCATCACTGCCTTACCGAGAAACCCACGAGACACGACGGTGTTCCGACTTCGGTGGATCAAGTTAGATAAATGTAATAGTCCATAGTTCAGCTTGCTAACAAGGCTAGTCCTCCCTTAGATCCGAGATAAAGCCGATCCAGCTGACTCTGCTGGGCCGCTCATAATGAGGTCTAGTAAGAACCGATCACCGATTAAGGCATTCTTCGATGATACTTCATCAATCATTCGAATCGCCGCCGAATTCGTTATGCAAAGTTCGCGCGTCTATAATATTTACGACAATCTCTCGTGTGTGAGAAAGAAGGACGCTTCATTGAACGTTGAAAAGAATTATGAAGAACGTGCAAATTTCTATGACACACAGAGTCACTCGTTACTATCTATTGATAAAAATTTATTTTATTATTATTATTAGTAGTAAAAAATAAATGACCTTGTATTATACCTCTAATTATGTATATATAGTTAAGTATAATTTCCAATAAAATAGAAAAATAGAGAAGCAGCGAGTCACTGATAAAAACGATTTGTAATTTCGCATGAATATACAAGATATCTGTTAATCATCGCGGATAATTTTAGCGAGATAGAGTATTTATATCTGAAAATATAATTTGTTAGCCGCGTATTTTCATTTAATGATGTCGATAACAAAATTATCGCTCGTGTATAAAATGCTTTAAAATTACCTAATTCTTTAAACTAATTCTTTATCCTATTCTTTAAACGATGTTATTGTACATATGTATATGTATATGTGTGTGTGTGTGTGTGTGTAAGTTTATTTTTTTTAGCAAAGAACTGAGATAATATTCCAACTTTCAACTTCCCATATCTACAAAGTTAATCTTTAAATGCAAATTTTGCAAAAATAAAAATCATTAGAAATTAATTAATGAATATTATTTATTTATTATTATATGTGTTTACTGTTCCGAAATTTATTTTACAAAATTAATTATTCTTTATTTTTAATCACTAATTACTTAGGAACTATTGACGTATCTCTATTGGATCTTTGTTGGGAGACATTGATAAATTAAATTAGCTAAGAAATTACGCAATTAAAAAGACATCTGATATTTTTGAGGCACTCGATACATATCTTGTGCGTTCATCTAAAAACCGGATTTCTCACATATCATCTTTCGCAATATATAATGAAATGAGGTCCGCGAGATACATCGACGTGCGCCTCGCGAAACAGCTTCCCACGTATTGATTAAGTTGAAATTTATTATTAAACCTTACCGCGATACGTGTTCCCGTGGCACTCGCGGCGCAATGCGATCCGCACGCAGCTTTACGACGAGGAGCTTTAATTTTCTCGGGAACGCGCATTAATCATTTATCGGTGATTAACTCGTAGCAGCCGATAAAACTGGGAACGGTTCTCGATATTGTGTACAACAATCAGCGAGAGTTGATTTGAAACTTTTTCAATATTTGTTGTTACGAGAATTGAAAACATTTATATCACTATTCGTTTATGCCGTTATTGTATTTTTGTCGTTATTGTATTTTTATATAAAAGTGATATCGCACATGATAATGCTGTTTTCGAAATTATTTATTATTTAGTTTCAAAATACATGCAAAAATATATTTAAAAAATACATATGCATTTATATATATCTTTTATATATAAATTGCTAACTAATCTTTTAATTAATTATATATTGAAAATGTATATTTTTAATTTAATTGTAGAAACATATTTTTGTGTGTCTACATTTTTTAATATTTGTATTTAAAGCAAATAATTATGTTGAATTATATTATATTAAAAATTCACTACTTAATTGATTGCAAAAGTACAAATATTTAATATGATTGTTTATTATGAGTTTAAAATTCTTCGCGATATTCTTTAATATTTTTAAAATTTGATTTGCAAAAATAATACGAAATTTTAAAAATATAATATATAATTTTAAAATATATAATATATATAAAAATTTTAAAAATATATATGATACTGCAAATCTGTAAAATACAGATAAAATACTGATAAAAAATATTACAATTTATATAATTTATTATAAATTTTTGTGATTTATTAATATCCTGATATTTCATAGGTAGATAACTGTAGGTGGACTAACTTATCATCTACGTATGGCTAATAATTTCCATAAGATTTACCGAGATGACGTTAGTGTACAGAGAATGTTTTTCCAAACTACGTAGTTATTATAATTAACGAATTTTCGATATAATTTCGTGATATATCGCGAATATGATATTTTAGTTAATTTTTCAGCCAACATCTCGATACATTTATTGCAGTTTAATTAATATTCTATGTATTATAATCATCTCTTGTCATCTAACATCATCTCGTCGATGCTCAAAAGCTGCGAGATCAGGAAATAAATTGCTCTCGATTTATTTACAGCTATTTCCAATATTCGGAAAAACAACTCTAATACAATTAATTACGAAGAAATATACTTGATAATAAATACACATACTTGATAATAAGTATACATTCTTTACAGTTCCGATGTACCTCGGCGCGAAAATGATGGCGATGAGATTTTCGAAGATAACATCAGTCGACTCCGCAAAAACTCCGCTTGCCGATACACGATATAACAACCGTTGTACGTGATATTTACGTTACAAAGGCACTTGCAAACACTTTATGAAACTCTCGATGATTTTCGTGCGCGAGATTCACTTTTTAAACGACAATCACAAAACAATCACAAAAAATGCAGAGCGATTCTCGCGGCGCGAACTACCGAAGACTTGTGATTTTCGAAGTAACGTCATGCGCATGCGCATAACGCGCTGTTGCCAGTCACGTGACGTAATATTTTTACGCGATCAACTTCAGCTTAGAAGTGCGTTCGGAAATTTTATCCATAGAATAGAGTAGTAATTATTGACCAATCGGGATAAAAGTAGCAAAAATTTCCTTGTACTGATTGGTCAATTAAATGCTACTATTCTATCTCACGAATAGCATTTTTGAACAAACCTAGCAGCCCGAAGAAACATATGATTAACATAACCTTTAATTGTGATTCGAAAGAGAAAACTTCCTTTTTTTTTTAAACAAATTAAATTTTTTTTACACAAATTTATTTACATGTATTCTGATATCTTTCATATAGATCATTAACACGGTTACTTATAACAGATTTAATATTTTCTATAAATAAATTTAATTATTGATGTAGATTATATATGAACGAAATAAAATAATGAACGAACAAGAGGAACTTATCGTTTGTGTGCCGGGTAACTATTCTTTTTATTTTTAGTGATTTAAATTTTACAAACACGCTAAATTAACTTTTCAATCGGTTTCTTACAGGTCAAAGATTATGTGTATCTGACAAAGTTAATATAGCCGGACCTGGAACATACGAGCAGCAAGGGTATATTTATTCAAAGCTTGCTGGCATTGTAAAATTAATAACAAATGAAAAAGTTAGTTTTTATATTGAAAAAATAAAGGTATACTTGTATTCAAAATAACAAAATAGATATATATATTTAAATACGTATTGCAGCAGACTCGTACAATAGAGGTACAGGGTATAACAGAACAAAGTATCGTTCCTGCACCGGGGGATATTGTGACAGCTATAGTTACATTAGTTAATCAGAGATTTTGTAAGTGTAGCATCAAGTGTGTAGGTGATATAGTATTGACGAGACCTTACAGAGGGATATTAAGAAAAGAAGATGTTCGAGCAATTGACAAAGATAGATTAGAAATGTACAAATGCTATCGACCTGGGGATATTATTCTTGCAAGAGTTGTATCCTTTAAATTTATTTTAGAAAACATTATTTGTCAAGATTATAGTTGTTGCTTTTTTCCTATATTTCTTGATAGATGCCTATGACAGAAGCACATACTTATCAATTGAGTACTGCGGAAAATGAGCTAGGAGTTGTAATAGCACATAGTGAAGAAGGTAGATATATATATATATATATATCTTTTTGATTTTTTAAATAACAACCTATTTTACACAGGTGTAGCTATGGTACCAATCAACTGGACACAAATGCAATGTCCAAAATCTTTGTGCAAGGAATTCCGAAAAGTAGCTAAGGTTGTGCCAGAACATGTTGCGGCAGAGCATATTGAACAATGAGAGACGTATAAGTAATACATGACTTATAAAGTACATTTTTAACTATTAAATAATTTAAATGTAAAAAATTTATATAACTAGACATTATAATATCAAACTTCTCTCTCCCATGTTGATGCTGCTGAAAATAATGGATTGATAATTTACAGCAGTAAATAATAAAATTTTTCAACCATTTCAATCTCAGTTCCTTTTATTTATTTTTTTCATTTGATATATTTATATATCACATTTAGTTATATGTATATTTGTATTCTTTTCCTTTTTTACATCTATATTATTTTTTTTCTTATTGATTTATTTATAGCTCAATAGTGTGGCAGCACTAGCAACCTATTTTTACCTTTAGATGTAAATATTGACATGCACATGTGAGTGCATGTTGTTTATCTTTTTTGGAAGAAAATCCCATATTATTCGTTGTCATTTGATTGAAAGTAATTAAACGAGAATGGCAGAATCGTCATTTTCAAAGCCCGCAGACACTGAATCTGACTTGAATTATACTCAGGGTGAATGCTTTTGCTAATTTGTGAGGTTAGGTTAGGTTACTAAGTAGAATTTAAATATTTTTAATATATTCGAATATTTTTAGATATTCGACAAATGATGCATGGATTTGGTGATAGTAGTGAACCATTGCTTGAATCTGCTAAGATCATAGAGGATGTGGTGCTACAGCAAATGAAAACAATTGTCAAGAGAGCTTGTGAAATTGCGGATAGACGAGTTGGTTCAAAGAAAAATAACATTATTAATGGAGAAGACCTTATTTTCTTATTGCGTAAAAATAAGGTCAAACTTCAGCGTCTTTTAAAATATCTTGGTGTGTGGATTTAAATATGTATAGTGGAATTTTTTTAATTGCGTGTATTGTATATAGCATTATTCTTTTCAGATTAACATGCTTTTCTTTTCAGAACTCAAAGAACTTGGAATCTCAGTCCAAAAAGTTATGGTGAATGATGTGCCACAAAATGTTATGGATTCTGAACAATTGGATAGTACTAAGAGGAAAATCCCATTTCAAGCTTTTCTAGAACAGATTGACAACACAGGTGAACTTCTTGAAAATTCATCCACTATGGATGAGATTAAACGACGTAGATGCATTCGTGCAGATATGGCGACAAGATCCATGGATGAGATGCGTTACATAAAATACAGCAGGGCACGTCGTGTGTCCTTTGCGAACAAGAATCGCTATAAATTCAGCGAGTGGGTTGGCTTAGATGGTATTATCTTTGGAGTAATATTAAAACTATTATATGTTTTAATATAGCTGTTTCAATGTTCATACTTTATAACTTGCAGGTGACATTACTTTGTCAAAACAAGCATTTGCAATTTTAAGTTATCTTGCATATGAAACAGTTGCTCAAATTATTGATCTCGCATTCTTAGTTCGACAAGATCAAAATAAAATGCATGGCGATGCCATAGATCGACAGCGGCTCAATTATGTTAATCCATTTACATACAAGCCATATTATCATGGGGAGGTAAATGTTATATTTTATTGAAAAAAAATAATTATAGTGCAAAATAATATGTATTATTTATTCTTTTCTTTATAGAATACCAACGTAACAAAAGCATTTACTCCTTCAGAGATAAATGAAGCACTTAGGAGGTATTGGTCTCCACAGCTAGATATGATAGGTCCTTTTAACAGATGGTCCATGAGAAGATCAAATTTAAAACTTCTTTCATTATAAATATAAAGGTGAGAGGAAAATTAGAAGCTCAAATAATCACTTTGAAATAATAATAAAAAAAAATTTACATTACATAATAAGATAATCTATACTACAATTCGTTAATCTCAAGTTTAATTGCTAAAAATTCTGAGAAATGCATATATTCAGTTCTAAAATTGACTTGTATTTATTGACATTTTCTTGATTTTTGTACATGCTTTTTATTTTTCTAATAATTTTATATGATATTCTTTTATTTTTTTTTCTTTTTTTTAATGTTATAAAACCGAATAAAATTGTCATGTAGTTGATATAGTTTTGGAGATTACTTATATGAGATTTTCCCTATAATAATTTCTGTACATTTTACACATTTGATAATCCCTGATTGCTTTTTTCAAAGATAAAAGATTATTATATTACAGTACACACTACTTGTAACTTTTTCAAGACGGGATACATTGTACTTTCCATAAAATATCCGAATTTCTTTTTATACATATTACCAATATTTTGGCATTATACGTAATATAATGTTTTAAAATCTAATACAATGTTTACTTGTTTTGCAGCCATTGAGCTTAATATGAATAAAATAATATATCTACAAGATCTTTCATATATTAATAGTAACTATTTGTCTTACGAATTTATACAGATGCTAATTTTGTTCCTATATCATGGTGAGAGTAGCGTCGATACTCGCGCTTTTCCTTCCGCGCCTCCAGTTATGCAAGTTCCAGATTGATTGGCAGTCGACCAGTCGCAACATAGGGTACCCTTATGTCCGCCTAACTCTAAAATCTTTCCTTGTGCGCCCGGTGGCATCTGTTATAGTGAGATAAAGATAAGATAATCAAAATAAGTTATATAATTATAATTTAAGCATATTTTTACTCTTATATAAAATAACTTGTGTGCACCTTATATATATTTCCTCCAGTCTGTGTACATAGTAACATATAACTACCGCTTTGATCAAAGGTAAACAGCTTTCCGTGAACGGGATTCTTGTCGATCTTTATTTTGGTCTCCCACAAGATTTTTCCCGAGTGATTCAAGCTTCTTTGGCATAGTTTACCGTCTTCGCTTTGCGCGCATATATTCGTAAAGTCATTAATTAATTCTATATCGATTATTGGGCTAGAGTGGCAGTTGAGATTGTCTATTATCTCGTTTCGCCTCAGATCATGTATCAATATATTGCCATTGGACAATCCCGTGATAAGTAATTGGCCGTTATGATTGAAAGTGGAACATAAAGCGGTGACGTTCTGCTCCAGCGGCAATGTTCTCTCAAGCTTCCTCGTTTTTATATCGTATAGCAGTAATTTACCCTCGTTGCCATCCGATACGGAACAAACAAACGTAGATTCCGTTGGATTACAAATTAAAGTGAGTATTCGCGAATTCTCATGCTGAATATCCCAAAGCGTCTTGCAATCTCGAGTGTCGTGCAATTGGATTAAACCATTATTGTCGCCGTGTAAAAAGTAACGTTCATTCTTTGATATCCAGTCTAGCGAAGTAATAGCCTTGTTGGAATTTGCCGTAGCGGAAGTGAACGTAGTAACAGTCCTAATAAAAATATCGATAGTAAGAATCGCATGTTGGCGTTACACGGAACAAGAAGGTTACATGAACTATTACTTTGGCGAGGGAATCGGAGTCCATACTTTGATGATACCATCAGCATCGCCCGTCGCGACATATGATCCACTAGCATTACTTTTGCATTGGATTATGGAGGTCTTGTGCTCTGTATATTCTTCCTGTAAAACGTATTACATAAATTATGTATATAAGCAATTATAAAGCAGGTAATAGCAGAAATTTTTTGACATTAACGATATTTTTTTTTACCTGACTTAGGAGAATATAACTGGAATCTATTTTTTCCTTAGTTTTCCTCTCGATAGCAGTATCCATAGAAGAGTCTCTTTTTCTAGAACTACTTAATCTTGAATCACAGCTGATACTCCTCTTGGCGACTGCATCGGACTTGCTGATTGAATTTACCCGTCCTTTCGTATTTGTCCGTTTTGTCGAGCACATTTCAGGTTCCACGATCTTTTTTACGTTTATCACCGGCTTTCTACTTAAAATTGGACTGGATCCACCACCTATGTTCTTTATGAGATTCCTTAGTGTTTTAGGATTTTCCAATAACGGAGATTCTCTGTTAATTAAACATCGATGATCAAATTAAAAATTATAGTCTTTTTATGAAATCATATTGACAGGAAACATACTGAGCAATGATATAAAAATCGTCCATGATAGGGAGATGTTGAGGTGCTGATCCTGGATTCACATCAGATATGTTTTCTATCTTAACAGACTCGCTCAATCGTTGTCTCAATATTTCATTCTCTTCTTGCAATCGTTTTAATTTATTTGTATCCTCGTCTATCGTGAGTAATGTTGGCTGTGGCATACACTGAGATAAACAGCATATTAAATATCTTATGTTATACTATATAATTGAAAAATATTTTATCTATTTTGTTTCATAACAGGAAAATAACATATATTCACACTGATTAAAAACATATTCAATTGAAATAATAACTTGCATTTAAAATATTTAATTTTATTATTTGACTATCAATTAATAAGGAAACTAATTTTAGCTCTAGAATTATGTGTGTACAGTGCAATAAAATATTTTTCTACCTACTTGAAAAATTGTTGCTAAGAAATTATGTAAAGATACCAACATAGTATCGTGCCATTGCTTACTAAAATGAACGGAGTAAGTTGGATTGTCTTCAGGATTTTTGATAAAAGGAAGTGCTGTAATATTACAAAGCATACAAATTATAATTTCACAAAACTTGCAACGTTATAAATTCATTAAATGGATAAGAGATATACCAAACCACTCCTTCCATTCAGAATGACCCTGTAACTCTGCTGTCATTTTGGTAAAAAATTCTTGTATTCTATCTTGCTTGCCATTCACAGCTGCATTTACCAAGTACATCTTTAACACAGCATTTTCCAATTTTCTGATTGCAGGTGTAAAATGACTTTCCAGTCGGCAAAACATTCTAGTATCCAAGTGTCCCCACAATTCCCTTAGCGATATCAGATCATAATTGTATACATATTGCATTAATTGATCAACTATTTTATCTACCTGTTTAATTGAACATAGCCATTATTAGCCTTGTTGATATCAACAATTTTCATATAATACAGCATATAATTTATGTAAAATGATCTTTATTTATAAAGTAACAAGTGTCTTGTGTATAAAATTTATAAAGTAACAGTGTCTTGTGTATAAAACATAGGTAAACATAAGGATTCTCACCCTAAAGCCTTTCTCTTTTTCCGCCTTCAAATCATTATCAAAGGCTTTCAGAGTTTGACTAAAGCCCCTGAAGAGCAAATACTCCTTAACTAACTCGTCTACATATTGTACGTGAGACATTTTCCCTCCAATCTCTTTAAAATATCAGTCGTTCGCATCAATTGACAGTTGTATGTTGTCATCCTTTGGCCATCTTAGTTCCTCACTGGAAATGTAACAAACGGTTCCATATGGATGCAGGTTTGCCAACAAAAGGCATTGCGATTAAAAAGAAGGTTCGAGTGCGTATCGATCAATTTCTCGCATAAGCATTCGATTCTCGACGAAAAGCATGAATTCAAATTTCCAGAAGAAAATTTACAAAATGAAATTTATATATAAATTATTTTATATTATTAAAAATCTTTTTTTCTTGGATAATTTATTGAATTTTAAAGATGATGAAATATTGGATAATAATAATAATGACAATAATATTAAATATCTTATATATTGTAGTAATATGTACATTATATAAATATACATACTTAATTTTTGTAATTTTAACGAATAATAAAATCGTGAAATGTATATTCACTAAAAGATTTACTTTCAACATAAAATTAAAAAAATATTTCTATCAAACAAAGCTATTGATTATGGCTTAAACCTATTGGATTAAACCTTATCATATATGCATAGGAATTCTTGTCATATTTATCATAAAAATTCAATAACAAATTTATTTTTTTTTTAAATACTTTAATCTTTTGATTGGAATCTTATGATAACATTATATAATAACATGTTTATAGAAAAAATATAAAAGATATTTTATAAAAAATATAAAAAAATAAGAGAAATATAATTATTTTATAAATTTCAAAGAATTACTTAAAAACCTTTAAATTTTTCTATATTTTCTCTAGATATTGAAGTGAATTCTTGATTAAAATTTTTTTGAATATATTAATTTTATGAAATAAATTTTCACATTCAAAATTTTTTTAAATTTATTTATTTCTTATACGTATATTATAGATAAGATCTCGTTAAAAATCACAAAGAGACAATTGCTGCGTAAATTATATAAATTAAATTTGCTATTTGTACAAAGAAAAATTCAAGGACATAACTTTTTCCTTCAATCCTAACGGCAGAGAGAATCATAGAATAATTTACAAGAAAATTCACAGAAAAAGAAATTATACAGGCTTAAAGTTCACATCTCGAATTTTACATTTCACATATAAAAGTCAATTCAGGAAGGAAATCACATTATGATGTGAATTACAGAATATACAAAATACCTGAATTTCCTTACATTTATTGTCAATAGACACTATACTACAAAAAATAAATCGCGAGATATATTCTGACCCGCGAATATATTTGGCAAGAGCGCGGCTACAAAGTGGCGATATTCCTCTTGTTCGATGTATGTATCTTAAGAAAAATAGTTTCTCGCAATTTGTCGTATCAATAATTATTACTACTGGAGATATCGCGCAATCAAACATATATTTTATTTACCTTAGATTGAAGAACTTGTTGTTTTATTTGCCAATGGTATTATGAAATATGTAATACCACAATAATAATTAATAGAAAAACGTAAACAAATTATATATATATATATATATATATATATATATATATATATAATTGTATAATTATTTTTTATAATGTCACAATGAAATTTTATAAAGCAGAATTATTTCTTTATTTTAAAATTTTTGTAGCCAAATTGCAAAATACGAACAACAAGTGGTATTTCATCATATCATTGGCATGATTTTCTGTAAATAAACTTTTTTTCACAAGATTATCATAAATTCCGTATACGATACTCGCCTAACGAGACATCATTTAAATACATTTGTGCATATCGTTTCGGACAATTTGAATTCGATACTTTCGTTGGATTACTCACATTATCACTTTATATGCGAATTTCTACTAAAGCTCTAGTATTAGATCTCTTCAGGCAACTCGTTACGTGATCGTATTGATAAGCGCATATTAAATCTCCAGTTTCATAAAATTATCGGCATCGTTATCGGCATTTTTGCCTATCTTAGAAATATATACATTTGAGAAAGTCACGTTTAGTCGCGATCTCAGCAATAGACGGAAGTGTAATAGCGCATAATGCTTTCTTCTGCTGATGCAGTCAAAATACGTGGGATCGCTTTTATGTATCGATAGAATAAGAAGAACTTTGAGATTTTACAAATTCTCAGAGTTGGATTTCAAAGTATTAAATCTCACAGCATTTTAGCTTATTGAAAATAAGCGAAATATTTAATTAGACCTGAAACATCCATCCGCAAATTCAATCTTGAAAAAACATCAAACATTCCAAGATTAGTTGTCTTCAATCAAACTTCGATAGATCTCAAATATGAAGATGGACCCTCAAATGAATATGATTGTTTTTCTTGAACCATAAAGCTTGATTTTGCGTGCGTATTGGAAATTGTTATTGTGTATCCCGTGCGTTGTATAAGCCAGTGAACGATTATTTTTTTAGACCGGAAAACGCACGCATATTTCAAGAAATGAACGAGCGAGCACTCGAATGTGTAGGAGTTTCTCTGAAAAAGAAATGCATCTACAGATCGATGTCCTCTTGTTTGGCCTTGGGCGCGATCCTTTCGTCGCTCTCGGACTCTTTCAAGCTCACGTGAATGTCCGCGATCTCGACCGGCGGGGGCGGTGCTGGTTTCACTGAATTGTCATCTTCGGCGACCTCGAAACCAATCGTGGCACCGATCTTTTGGGTCGCATGCTTGAATGAATCTGATAGCATCACCTGATAGCAATATAATTGGGTTAATTCGATCGGATTAATGAGCACTATTTCCTTGGCTTATAGTTGCAGTATATATAATAATTTATATAATATATAATTTATAGTTTTAGTTTTAATCATTTGTATCGTTAAATCAACATAATCATATACACGAATGAAGTAATAAATGTAAGAAATATTATATTATAATTTAATTGTTAAATTTATATATTATCGTTAATTAAAAATATATATTATTTTCATGATATATCTTTTAGATATTAATATCAAAATTTTTGAAAACTGTTTTATTTAAAAATGAGAATCAGAAAAGAAAATTATAATAATCAACAATATGTACAATATATTCATAGTCAACAATATGAATAAAAAATATAGTTTTAATATTATTATAAATTATATATATATTTTCTAATAAATAAGAATGTGAATACACAAAACATATATATGAAAATTCTTTTGCTCACCTGTACGACATTGATGCACATGGATGTGAGTGCCAGACCAAACACCAGATATACTATCGAACACATCATGTATACGGGATTCTAAATCAATCAATCAATTTATGTTAAATTAGGTGAATCATGGATCTCGATAAATCGCGATAGATTTGTAAGTTTATTAATTTATTAGACGATTTGCAAAAGAAAATAAGCATGTGAAAAATAATGAATGTACGATGATATACGCTTTTTTTTTTTAGAAAGTTTTGGCATGTTGAAAAGCTTACCATCTGAACGCCACCGTGAAAGAAAGAAAGAAACACTAGAGTAATCGTTTATTGTACAAGATGAAAGTCGTGGGATCATAAACTCGAAGTGATAAATTCAAAAGGGCGCTAAGGGCAAATGAAACAAAATTCGTGAATTCGCTCGAGGACATCGTGCTGTCCTTAAACAAACTAATATCGTAGCAACTAATCAATCATTATTCATGAATCATTCATGTACTACTAAAAATGAAAAATTAAGTAATATATTTTACTCAAGCAAGTTCTGTTAATTACTACTTAATACCTTCATTTCGTACAATTTATCTCTCTTGATTTATATCAATTATAAACATTTACAAATCGCTATAAATTAGACGCTATAAAAGAGATTCTCACATAATTATCAATTTTTATACAAATTTTTATACAAAAAGAGATATTTACGTGGAAAATGTTTGGTTTTACATTCAGGAGATAATCACCTGTGGCACGTAATCGCCGAAACCTATAGTGCTCATGGAGATAAAGACGAAATAGAAACTTTCGAAGAAGCTCCATTCCTCCCACATGTAGTACAAAGTAGCTCCTATGAAGATGTAGGCCAAGAGGATGACGATCGCGACCGAGATCGGCAGATTGAATTCGTCATCGATGGCAAATGCCGACATTGCCGGTGTGCCTGGCGTATCCGGTGCGTTGCCGTCCAGATTGAGAACTGTCTGTTGTTGCACCTGTTGCCTCTGCATCTCCTCGATGTCTTCCGGATTCATCTGCGACGGCCGTCGAAATTTCGCGAAGTCATATACAAGTTGCACGCCCTTCATCACTTCCTGCAATTTCCCAGGAATAGTAGACAAGGTAAAATCAATACTTAACTTTAAATTAATTAATCAAGCGATTAAAAAATAAAATATATAAAAAATACTACAAATGCGAAATATCTTAAAAATTCAAAAATTGTCAAATTTAATGTAAAAAAGAAATTCCGGATAATTTAATATTTCATTATTTTAATTTTTAATTTAATTTTTCCCTTACTGATTTAATATTTTTTGAGGCATTTTATCGTCTCACCTGAACAGGCCCAGTGCGACGAACCTTGCGACAGCTACCAGTGTAGTATAATCTTCTTACGAATGCCCACAGGAACTTTATACCGCGCGTAAATAGCTTACCGAAGTCGGCCAGGATAATTAAAAACATCGGGATACCGAAAATAGCGTATACGATTGTGATGGCTCTTCCTGCATTTGTACTTGGCGAAATATGCCCGTATCCTGAAATTAAAAAAACTGTCTAGATCACAACAATATAAATATATCAGTATAATATATAATTAATATTGATATATTCATGTATCATATTTCCTTATATTATATTCTAGAAAAAAAATCGCTCAATTCAGTACAGTTGATATTGTGTATGAGAACTTATATTTACGTAATATTGATCACGCATGTGTTTTTTAGAATATATTTCTTTAATATTATAATATGCACAGTGAAACGTTACATTTAAAACATATATGGCGTGAAGTTTCTCACAGTCAGTAGTTTATTTTGTCTGCGTTGATCTCTTGTTGAATCGAAAGCGACTCGTTTACGATTAATCTAATTTTAGATTATTCAGCGACGTAGTCGACGGTTGTTCCCTTGTAGATTTGACTCGCAAGATTGAAGAAGAAATCAATTTGGCTCGATGCAATTGAACAATCTCATTGATAGAATCGTATCGTTCAGGTGTACTCAGCTGTGAGTTTACTATTTCGTCGGAAAAACTGTAAGCATTACGTAATACGAGTCAACGACGTTCGTGCCTTTTCCTCTGGTCCAAATTTATCACGTTCACCTGGTGATCTAGACAGTTTCGGTGCACACGCACTTCGAATGTAAATCGGAATTTAAAAAATTCCGTTGGACAAATATATTGAAAATATATTGAATTAATTAATTAATTAAAATATTTTTTATTTCATTATAATATTTCGCTTTATTAGTTTATTTATTGGCTAGAAATAATCGAAATTGACAGGTTTCAAACGACTTTGTTTAATTAAATTTTATATCTGCAATGTTTCTTTTGAGACACTATATCAGAACCTAGACAACAGAATTTCACTGCATTCATGTGTCAGAAAATCAATACGAGACCTATAAAACGTTTTACGTGAAGCACGAAACTTATTCGTAAATTTTCGCAAGATAGATATAATTATATATATATATTAGCTTTGCGTGCCTTCATTGTCGCAACAAAATATACTTCACTAACATAATGCCCTTCAGAATAGCAAATATTAAACAAATAATGTATTTTCAGTATTATATATAATAGCAATCTAATTTATTTTAACAAATTTATTTTAATCAATTAAAAGTCTTAAAGTTTTAAAGTTTTTTTTAAATCATTAAAATCAACTCTGTTAATTTAGATTATTATTATAGCTACTACTTTAAAATGATTTCTTTCGTAAGAAAACTTTTATTGTTAGATAAATATTGTTATATATTTCAGAAAAAAATATAGTTTTATTAATTGTAAATTAATTTATAATTAATTATTAAATTATATATATATTATTAAGTTATTAAATTATATATATATTATATAATTTAATAACTTAAATTATATATATATTATATAATTAAATTATATATATATTATATAATTTAATAACTAAGGTATAATTAAAGTGTGTCTTTAATAAAGTGCAAAAATATTGAAAATACTGAAGAATATATATATTTTTGCAAAAAAGTTTCAAAATGTTAATAGTTTAATTGGAGGAGAAATTTATTTTGATTAAATTATCATGAAGATATACTTGCATTACTTCAATATTTTCAAACTTGATAAAAAAATTAAAAAATAATGCAAGAATTAGTAGAAGAGGATCTTAGAGAGAATCAATTTCTTCATTTCAGGAGAAAATTATATTTCTGGATCCAACTCTCTCCCCTTCCCTAAAATATTCTCTCACCGATGGTGGTGATGACGGTGAGACAGTACGAGACCGCGTTCAAGAAACTCCAGCTCTTTTGACCGCTGTAACTATGCAAGCCCGCTTCATGAGCGGTATGAAGCTGTTCTTCGAACTCCATCAGCTTCCTACGCGCCATACTCTTCCAGTCATCCTCCCTCAAATTGTGACTGTAATTCCATAAACTATCCAAAAAGTCTCTCTTCACGCGCTTCACCCCGCATTTGTAGAACGTCTCGAAGGCACCCTCAACGAACCGGAAGAGGAAGCCACCGAGACCGCAATAGATCATTACAAGCAGCAATCCGGCTATGCAACGATTACGTAGCTGTCTGATGATCGTCGCCTCTCGTGGATTTTGTTCGACGAAGACTTTGAATTCGCCGACAACATCTTTGAACGCTCTAAAGAAGTCCAACAGAGTAACCTTTTCTGGAACTTCTTGCTTCTTCTCTTTGATCTCCTCAACTTTCGGAGTCGGCTTCGGTTCGTCCTCAATCTTCTCTTCTACGATATCATTAATATCTTTTTGTTTTCTACGCCAGAAGAACATCCAGGAGAACCACGATTTTTTCTTATCGGAAAACTTAGCTACATCGGAAGACTCCGTTAAGTCTTGAACGAGCTCTTCATGTTCACTCTCGGTGTGCGCCAAACTGAACTTTCGCCTCCTCAAAGTACTAGTTTCAACTGCATCCTGGAAGACCTCTGCGGCGTCGGGATCCAAAATATTGCGCTCCCTCAACATATATTCTCTCTGAGCTCTCGCAAAATCCTCGATCAGACTTTCATTGTTCAGCGGAATAATCTGCTTTTTCAATTCAATCGGAGATCTCTTAATCATTCGCTCTTCAGATTTCGGTGGAAGGTTCTCGTTCTTCTTGATAGTCTTTGAATCCTCGTCCGAATCTTCAGTCTGACTGTAAGGTGGTTTCGAACGTGGTTTCTCGGAATTATCTTTCGTTCGAGATTCGTTCTCCAGTTTTTTTTGATTCGACAATCTCTTTTCTCGATTTTGTCTCTCGACATCCCTCTTTTGAATTTCCGGATCACTGACACGATTTCTTCCACTCGTCTTCTTTGCCCTGAGCCTTACTGCTTCCGGCGATTTTGTCCTCTTTTGACTTGATTCGCTCTTCTCATCCGCATCGCTAGAATCTGTTGATCGACTATACCTTTCTACGCGGTCCTTTGACTTTCTCTTAAATCGCCTTTCGACTTTGCGGACTTCGGCAGGTTTAACGATTTCGCCATTCGTTTCCTTCGGTGTCTCCGACGCCTTCTGGGCGACCAGGTTTTCTTCGACTATTTGAACAATCTCAGCTTTGTTGACTTCTTTCTTCATGGTACTCTCATCATTAAACTTGTTCATTTCTTCAGTGATCTGCTTTACCAATCGCGTGTTGTCATCAACCTCTGCGGTGTCATTCTTCCCAGAACTATTCCCAGCCGCCATGGATTTGGCAGCTACTTCGGCACGTATAGCTATCATATCATCCATGTTCGCAGACTTTCTCGCGTCAGTTCTGTCCCTTCTTCGGACAGGACGTTGTTCTTGGTGAACATCCTCTTTCTTGTCTTGGTTCTCTGATTCCTTCGCAGACTCCTCTCGTTGTTGCTGCGTCAATCTGTTTTCCTTCTGCTGTTGGTCTATCTTCTCAGCTTCCTCGGCCATCCTCTCCATTCTAGCGCGCCTCTCTTCGTCCTCGTCGTCCGAAGTATCCATGCGCGACGCGGCACCCCTCGACGAGGGCTCGGGCGTCTTCTCGCGTTTCCTAGCGGCCGCCTTGCGACGTCTGTGTACCGTGTAACTATCCTCCATCACGAATCTTCGTTGACGTTCCTCGCGAGGGAGGCTTTCGCGATGGAAAACGTACTCGATATACTCGCGAGACCGGCCCCGACGAGACCGGGACAGAAATAAAACGGAGGCTGCTCCCACCACCACTGCCACCACCACCACCACTACATCGTCGGCACCGCGACGCCCGCGATGTTTGCCGCTACCAGCGACGGCGGAACCGGATGACCGGCTTGTGCCGCAGCGGATATCGAGCGACGGCGCCGCGCGCAACGCGAAACTCGTCGCTTTGGCGTCGCGATGCCGCGCCTGCATCCACCGCAACCTGCTCGACGTTTGCGCTGAGCCACCGGAATCGTGGTGTGGGTGGTGACCTTGTGACCCCTGTGATCAGGGATTTTGTCAGACGATCAGCTGAGAATACGTCGATTATACAAATATCACAAAGAAAAAGATTTTCCAACAAATGAAGGGAACCTGCTAATTCAAATTATTTTAACATATCGAAAATTTAATTGTTTTATTTGTTGAAAAAAAAAGAAACAAAAATTAATGTGAAAATTATATTAATTGATTAAATAGCCAGCATAAAAAATGTAGCTGCATAATATTATACTTACAATATAATATACAGTTTTAAAGGTATTTTATATTTAAATTTAATTACTTGTATGATAAATAGAATACATACGCTTCATATGTACAATTATTATGATTGCAATAATTGAGTCTAAATACATGAAACAATTAATAAAACAAAAGTACCAAAGGGAAAATTATGATAATCTAGAGTATAAGTAAATTATGATTGTAATAATAATTTAATTCAAACGAATCGATTAAACAGGATAAAAACAATTAAAAGAAAATTATAGTAATTTTGAATTAAACTCAATAGTTTAAAGGAATAAACTCTTGATATTTAAAACAGTTTTGAAAATGATATAATCCTTTCTATAAAATATATATCTACGATAGAGCATTGAAATGATTAATCGAATTACATATTGAAAGAAAGAGATAGCTTATAAAATTTGAAATTTTCTGTATATGTATATAGAAATAAAGTAAAAAAGATTCAACAATTATTATATGATATGCTCGAAAAATGTTTAAATATAACAAATGAAATATTTTCAAGAAAATTGAATAATTTAAACATAATTCATAGATTAAATATCGACGTAGACATTTATGCGGATTTCCTCTTATCTCGTTAGCGATTTGAGATCACTATTTATAGACTAAAAATATAATTCGCAGAAATGTATCTTCTTTTTTTTTGCTACACTCGACCTAAACAATTGCATGTATTTCCAACATGCCTTTGTCATTGCAGCAATGTTATGCGGTATTCATTTATAATTATCATTATAATTAAAACAAAACTAAAAAAATAGTGAATAAAAACATATTTCGCAAAACATGTGGCACAAGTTAATTAATTCATAATCTTGAGATATATTTGCATATATTCGCAGATTGTGATATGTTAATTCATTATTTCGAAAAATGCACAAAATTAGATTAATTCTGTATAATTAATTATTTTAAAATAATTAATTAATTTCCCATTCTTGTTATTAATTCAACAAAATATTTTTTACTTATCAAGAGGAAATATTAGATATTGCAAACAACGCAATACAATCTATACATATGCATCAGCATGTATAAAACAATTCAAAAATATAACAATTTAAACATTTAGCATCATCTCATATAGTTTTAATTAAAATTTAACAACGATGTTTCTCGTTCAAATATTTATATGTGTAATCAATTAATCTTCAATCGAGCTATCAATATGAATCGGTAACAATTTTGCATGATGTTTTCCATTCGATATCACAATGTGAGTCGAATAAATACGTTTAATTCGATACGAAAGAAAATGTCACGCGAGAGAGCATCTCTTTTTGTATTTCTCGAAAACTCGAAAACACGTCTCTTTCCACGATCATCTTGCTCATCTTCTTTTTCGTTATATAATGACAGGACTCAAAATAGTATGCGTGGGCACTATGTCGTCGTTTAGAAAATTGCATGCACGAATCTGTTCAATATTCGAGTCGTAAAATTTTAAAAATACGCGCGTATTTGCTATCGTCCTTATTTGCGAATATATTTTATATATTTATACAAAATGTAATCACACGGATATAATGTTACGACACTTTTCTTCGATTATAAATACTTTAACAATTTGACAAATTTTGAGTTAATCTTTCTGATAGCAGAAATTAGATTTTTTACTTTCTCATTGGATTTTTAATTTTATTGATATAGTTATATGTGTTTACAATTATACAACTTTGATCGAAATATTAGTGGAAAATCATTTTCGATACAAATACATTAGAGAGAATTTTGATAGATTTTGTCATCTGTAAAATGGTAACATGTAATAAATATTGCTCGTTTGAATATTAATAATGATATATATATATATATATATATATATATATATATATACATACAATATATATATTATATATATGACTTATGCATACATATCAATTTTCCCGCAAGAGAGTAAAAATTCCTGAGAGGATCTATTAAACTAGGTCACATATTAGTCAATAACGTGAATTTTCCGCAAAAAAAAATTACGAAAATATATTACACTTTATCACATTTTATTTCATTGCATTTTATTTTTGCTCATATAATTGTAAATAACGTATAAATAGACAAAATATCAAGAATTTTATACTTCTATTTTATTTCTTATAACTCAATTTATAATATATGTATTAAATATCAAGAGAAAATATAATATTCCTTTCATAAACAAAATATTAATTCTGCTCGCATCATAAATAAAACAGCAATAATTCTATCTCGATTTTTATAAAATATTATTATTATAGACAAAAGAGAATTTCTCATTAATGCGTTTTATTAATAATATAATAAGATTCTCTTTGTATACAAAAGGAATAAATTTGAATCTAACAGGTTCACGTTTAAACCAATTCACATTGATATAAGTCAGAGCAGTACACAAGCTATATAAACTTAAAGCAATAGAACACTAGAATTGATGAAATCAGTCGTACTGCACACGCAGCATGTTGATGCACCACACAAGTAATGCAATACACAAGTTCCTTCCATGGTTTATCTACGAGCATTCGATCATTCGCTCAGTAAGGCAATGTAAGATAAATAAACCCGATCTCATCAAGACACCCGAAGAAAAATAGAAATGACTTCCGCTTTTTATGAGCATGACGACGCGGGTTGAAATAAGTCATAAAATGTTTTGTTAGAATCGCGATTATCATAATAATCGTGTCTCTCTTAAGACATTCTGCCCACTCGGCTTTTCTGCTCTTGACGTGTATATTTCGTTCTAAAGTCGCTCTATTTCTCAAGAGGCATATATCACATAAATATTTCATCTTTTTTTATGTAAGTATCAAAATTATGTTTGTCTTTCTCCAAGAAAAATATATATTCCGTAAGTCTCATACATATGTACGTGTTTTGACAATATTTTGACAGAAACGTGATAATGAATTTATTACTCGATATAGTATTCTTAACAATCTTATATGTAATATCAAAGTATGATATCGAAGTGATGTCAAGAATCATTTTTATTAAAGTTAACAAACACATTTTTACATTCGTAAAGTTTCAAATCTATTTTACTAATTGCCAAGACCGGGATTTCTAGTTAATTGCTACAATGGCGATTTGCCAATGAACGATTAAATCGTACGAGGCTAGAAATATTCTACTCACCGATGGTCGTGTAAATTGTGCCACAGTAGAACACGGCATTCCAGAATGTCCACACTTTCTGACCGCGGTCCGTCAAGCCTCGTTTGAAAAACTCATACAGATCATTTTCGTATTCCATTAGTTCGTTTGCCGCTTGTCCTCTCCAACGACTTATGTCTGATGCCAATTCCGAATTATTGCAAAATCCCCGGATTATCTCTAGCATGTCGTTTCTATAATCAAATAAAAGACACTAAGATGACTTAGGTTAAGAGCTTCATTCGATTTTAATGCATTTTACACATGTGTTGTAATACTTAAAATTATTATATATTTTAAAGTTTAGAGAGAACCACAAAAAATAATATAAGAATACAAATTAGCAAATGTTTCACATTTAGGTTTTTTATAAAAAAATTGTGTACATGTTTAATATTAATTAAACTAAATATTTGTTATATATTTTCTCTTTATCTTATTTAGTACTTATTACGATATGTTTAACAAATTATTTTGTAGAAACGTATGGTCGCTAGTTTTATTGAATATAAATTTAATAATCAATAAGTTATCTTCTTTATGTGTATAAATTATTTGATTGTTTGATAGCCACTTTATTTAATTTGCAGTAAAATCTTTAAAAAAGATTTAGCATGAAAATCTCGTGAACAAATTGTTCTTCCATATTGTGATACGTGTCGCGTTATCTCCACATTTTCATAATCCATGATATATATTTTGTCTATTTCCATTAAAATCAGGTGGAAATTTTCTTTTAATATATAAAACCGTCACACAGAAAGAGACAGACTAATATTAATTAAAATGTCTGGATTAAATTGATATCCAATAAATAAGGCACATCTGGTGAATAACAAAGAATTTCCAATCTAACATAATAGGGCTTTATTGTTAATGAGAAGATTAAATCTCAACCATTCCTTGATTCCCAGAGTTAATTTTAGGAAAAGCTTCCCATAAATCTATTTTTCTTCAAATAAGGAGACACAAAAGATACGCATGCTATATAATTAAGTAATGCTATATAATATAGTAATATTACAGAATAATTATAGTAATATTACAGAATTATTATAATAATCCTAATTGATATTCTCTCCCTCATACAAATACGCTTTACATTATTTTTGATTGAATTTAGGTCACAGGGTGCAAATTAATATTTATTTCTGTCACGCGATCATAACAAAGTATCTTTATTGCTTAAATCTTTACTGTAATTTTTCTAACTAGAAATAAACAATGACAATCTTGACCCTGACTTTTATAGAAGACAATCTCTTTCTTTATCTTAGTTCTGATACTGTACACACATAAATGTACAATTGCTGAATATCTCTGCCCATGCTACACACAATCTTATTATTCCTATCACGCAAGGTGAATTTCTTATAGATAAGCTGTCGACTTTTCGCGGTCGATCTGGCCTTCATATCAAAGTCGTGATCGATTTTAGAAAAAGAAAATTACAGAGAAAATCATTTCATGGGCAAAGAAAAGCGCGAGATAGGATCTAACGTGATAAGACATCAGGGCGATACAACATAAAAGTATGTCATATTTATTATTTCGTGACAAGTGAAATCGATAATAGAAAAATTAATAGTTTTCACAGAGAATACATACGTTCATATTTTTCACAAAAAATGAAACAATAAATTTGATTAACAATTAATTTATTTGATTTGATTTATCAAATTATAAACAAAATAGGTCAGATGAATGTATTGATTTTATTATTGAAAAATAATAATTTTAATTTACAAAATCAATTCAGAAAAGTGACAAAAAGATTTTGTGGGATATAAAAATTATATAACAGTGTTAAAACGAGAATCTCACAGCAGTTTTGCAAATAATGTTATACGATCGGCCGCGAAATCCAATATTGGTTTGCATGGTAAACGATTGTTATACGGAACAGATGTGGAGCTGCTAACAGGGATCAGGAATAACATTATCGACAAGAGAGATTGAACTGAAACCACAGCAACTGTCTCGCTCACTTTGGCATGTTACGTGACCAATGAGGATCAGATTAAAATTTCCGCACATAATTAACTACCGGATATCACAGCGCGGAAAGTACCTAGCCCAATGTATCGTTAGCACGTGTTGAATGGCATCTTTTTGAGAAAGAATCACTTGACTTGTTTAATTATTCCGCATTTTACAGGATTTTTAATAATCTCTCTGAATACGAGGTCTAGTGCACCCTTTGATCGCATCTTATAATTATATTTTAATAAAGAAGCAAATAATAAAGCTCGTAGTCCATAGAAATCTTGAAAACTCTTTATTACATCATGATCATAATTAATTTTAGCACTAGTATTCAGACTCTTTCATTAGAAATAATATATCTTGTATTAAATTAAGAAAAATAGATTGATAGATGCTTTATTGTTGATTTTTAAGCCAATGCTATTAAACGCGATTTATCGTATTTTATTGAATTTCTTGACGTTGGAGGATTACGAATTTTATTCTAGATTATTATTTATCTTATTTATTCTAATATTCTACATATTTATTTTTATTTCAATTCTACTTTACCTCTTTTTCCGGATATCGAAGCGACCAGACTCCTCGTTTGTGCCTTCAACCGTCACGAAAATCATCGCTCCAGCGATGCTATATAGAAATACGATAACGACTAAAAAAATATGCGTAAACCATCTTTTGCTCCAAGAACTAACCTGCACAGAACGTTTATTATCAGATACATTACAATTAAAAAAATAATAATACAGTGCTTATACATATCAAATTAATATATCAAATTACGAACATAATGAGAAACATTTCAACAGTTCAATGCTAATTTTTACCTTCTCGATAAATCTTAAAAAATATTCATAATTATATTCGATATCGATACTAGTAAAAAAAAATATTTTACGTTCGATTTCTCAGTTTTACCTTCTCATAAAGCCAAACGACGCTCTTCTCCCCTACGCTGAGTCCGGATTTGGTCAAACCCTTGATCCCCTTGAAGACGAACGCGCTGGCCCGGTTGGTGTAGATCATCTGCGGTTGACCGGAAACCGGCGTCATGGGCATCGGTGTCACGTAACCCATACCGGTTGGTGGCTGCGAATAATATTGTCCCGGAATCGGTAGTATGATCTTTGGCCTGGGCGGCATTTTTCGTACTCGCGGCGAGCTCGACATCTTTGTGGCGGGTTTACGTGGCGGTGCTTTATGATTCTCAATCTTCGACGTGCAAATGATACATTTAAACACTTAAACGTGTCTTATAATTTGCAATGATTTTCTACAAGCAATTCTCTCTAGTCAACTAATCACCCTCGAGATCGAGAGGGAATCACGAGGAGAAATAGTCGTTTGACATTCTCCGAGAATGAATATCCGAGAAACGCATTGATCTTCCGGTTGCATTTAAGTTCGCTCTTCGATTTAATCTGTGACGTCTGTAAGGAACATGAATATGTGCTGTGGCTCGATTCTCTGCATATCGCGATCTACGCGATTAGATAAGGATCTTGAAGTGTTAACGTCATGTCACTCAACAAACGCGATCACACTACTTGCACGACACATACATTTATTAAACATATTAATGACTCGTATCACTTTGTCCTCTTTTAGTCCCGTTCGTTATTTCATAGATCTACGAATTTTATTTGAGAGCATGTATAAATAGTCGGAAGAATGTTGGCAAGCTTTTAGAGCAGAATTCTATGAGAAAGATTGATCTCGTAAAGAGGCCGTATAATAATCGCTATGTTTTTCACCAAAATTTACGAATGATATTATTCGCGATTTTCTACAATAATGATACAAAGAGTTATTAATATAGTCATAAAAACTATGATTCGCTTGAAATATTAAATATAATAAAAAAAAAAAACCTTTCGAAAATCAATATCGAACATAATGAGTCAATCGCCGTAATAAACTTTTATTAAAAAGCTTGCTCTTTATTTCTGAACTATATTGACAATGAGATATTCTCGCAAAGTTTCTACATTTCATGTATGAAATATACATATATTCTTGAATTAGAAAAAATATTCAATAAATTACAATAAAAATCTAATATAATACTATATGCATAAGATGTTAATTAAAATTAAGAAAATGTTAAATTAATTTTCTTAAAAGAATACTTAAAAAAATACAGATTTGAATGTTCAAAAAAATATCATTATAAGTATATTCGACAGATATCTTTTCTAATACATAACTTGGTATTCGCAAAAAAATATTATTTTCAAATTAATCAACGCGCGAACGATAATCATCAAGAAGCATGCCAATTGTAGGTATTCATTGATCTTGACCGCGGCAGGTATTTCTCTTGTGATCTCGAATTTGCACTCTCTTATTCGCGCGAATCCTGTTTCTATCTAAAATTATTCGGATTCGGACGACATTAGTTATAAGGTCGACGACCTCGGACGGAATTCTAGCAATAGATAATAGGAGTTTGTGCGAACCACTCGGTATAACAGATGATGGGAGAGTGCATTCTACAATTGCACAATCGCATTTTATTATAATTACACAATGTTATACAATTTTAATTAAAAAAGTATATAACATACGTGATACAGAAATATGTAAAGCGAGAAGACACTATGTGATTACAACTAAAGCAATATTCTATATATATACTTTGACATTTAAAACATCGAAAGCATTGAATAACATAAACGATAATATGTGCGATATCACGTACAGAATATCGGCAATGAATGTCACATAGAGAAATATTCTGTCACATGGAAAATCCTTTCTGACATTTACATTTTAATGCTCAAGGCTAATTCATATGAATATTTATGTTTTTATTGTATAAATAAAAGTCATATATAGAAATTTAATATAATTTTGAAAAATTCGAATTTGTCGTTTCTTTAATCGGAATTAGCAATATTATTAAATTAAAAAAAAAACTTATTTTTCTGATTTTAGTTTTACTACAGATTGAAATATATACAAGATATGTGCACCTCAAAAAATTTTTTCCTCTATGTATAAAAATATTCACAAAATATTTTACAAAGAATTAATATTTTTAGTATAAGCAAAATAATTATACGCTACTAACATAATAGCTGAATAATTACGCTAGACTAGCGTGATGATATAAAGGCAAAACGCGTGATAATTATTCTCGTAATTTATAATTTTAAATTTTCGTAAAAAAGGTGCAATTGCGATACATAGTAAATCAAATATATAAAATCTCACATTTGACTTATCGACAGAATCGTCATAAAAGATACTGCATCCGTGAAAGCGATCTTTCACCCCTTTTGAGACCAATCGACTGTTGCTGTCGATTTATCACCAACCAGCGGCGAGCACATAAACCTCGTTTCTTTTCTTAATGATGCAAGTCGATCCTGTCTTCTCTATTTTCTCCTTTTCCACTAAGACAGATTTTTCGATACAATATTTTCAAGATAGTCTGCTACAGAAAATGCATTAGATTAATCATGTAACTTTTTCACTAAATAGATAAATGCACTTTTCTCGCGACAATTTTCACACATTTAAATACGTTACACACAATTTTCACTCAAAAATTTACGTATACTATCAATTTGCTCTCTCACAATATTCTTATATATATTTAGTTTATTTATTTGAAGTATTATTTTAATTTATACTTCAGCATATATTTTATTCTATATATTTTCTACCTCCTTACTTTTGATAAAATTCTATTTTCACACTTTCAATATATCAAAATAATTATTTTCTTCCCTCCGCATAATCGAGTCATTCACGAGGAACGGGAAAAAATTACTGAGGGAAGCTCTCGTCACGATATTTGCTTCGACGAGAAAGATGTCTCTTCCCACTTTCTCAACATATAGCTATTTTTTTCGATTTCCTTCGGCAATTCACGCCTTCGTTAATAATTTGATGCCGATCGAAGGGCAAAGAAAATATTCCCTCTCTCTTCGCGCAATCTTTTTTCCATAGCATTCGAAAGGAAAAAGTCGCCTACGTGAAAAAAAGTAGATGTCTTCAATTATTCATTCCTGAGAGTTGCGTGATCCGGAAGTGATGCAATGACGATTTAATAACGTGTCATCCTGATATCGGCGGCGCTCAAGATTTTCCAAAGTTTCCAAGATCGTTCCTTTTGACACACACTTTCTTATATCTGAATCTCAATAATGCTATTATTCTTTAATACCTCATCACGATATATTCTAAAGTATAATCTATAGTTTGTCGTCGTGTTTTTTTATTTAATTCGTTTAAACTTTGATTATCGGAAATTATAAGACACGATAATGCATTCGAATAACTTTTTTTCCGATAATATAGGAGCAAATGCTGCTTGCAGATATTAACGTTAACATCTCCTACGTCCCTTCGACGGCAGCGTCGCGACGCCAACTGAGGAGCATATTCGATGCCGGAACTCGGGTCGCTTTGAAACCGGCGCTACCGACCACAGGGCCGTAACTGCAATATATATTTATATATTGCTCGAATATATATATATATAAAACTCGAAAATAATGTATTAACTGCGAAATTTTTTCAAATTCCTGTCTTTAGTTACCCTATTAATTAATTAATATTTTTGCAAATAAATTATAACTCCTTTACTGGTAATACTAAAAAATTTGACGTATGCAAAACTTTTAAATGTGTAAGCAAGAATTTCATAATATAATTTGACGTGATATTTTTATATAAGAAAATTTCTTGGTGTTATAAATGCACGAGTATTAAATTAATTAGGGAAATTTGCGATACGGAGTTGATCGAATTCTTTTGAAGATGGAATACTTTTGTATATAAATGAATACAAAAAGGAATTTACATTTTACATATTACATTTACATTTTACGTACATTTTATCGTTCTTCTTATACACCATTATATCGATTTCAGTTCGCCTTTTGTTCGAATGATTCTCACACAATACAAGCAATTCTATATCAGTCAGAATATTTCGCCAGCATATTTCGTTCAAATATAAAAAAAATATTACTTTATTTTTTGTGCAGTTAATTAATATTTTAATTGAATGCAAAGAACACATCATCCTCGCCTCTTCATATTTATTCTGAAATATGAAAAACGTTCCCCGATCACATAGAGTAGAAAAATATTACGTAGAAAAACATTATCTTTTTATCTTTGAAAAAGAATAACAAATAAACTAAAGAATAGACCAGAAGTAATAACCGCAATTCATACACAAATTGCATCTTTAATTATACTCCAATCTAATTATTAATAATATTCTATAACTATTATAGAACAAACTAAATACATAAGATGAAAGTAATATATTATTTAATATTTTATCAAACTGTTGACTTGTTATATTATTTAATGCTTTATCAAACAATTGACTTATTCATTACATTTTCAATAAAAATCTTTTTGATAATGTATGTAAAATTACGTGAATAATATAATAACAGCAAATCAGCAAGTTCGCAATTTAGTGACAACAATGTACGTCGCGTTTTAATTCAGCTTTTGTTTCGTTTCTAAATAAAATGGTAGCCTTGCGGTGTGATGAATTGATCAAATCGCTTTACTCGGTTTCTCACGTTTCTCATGCTAAAGCGGTTTTTTGTACTATTATTACGCAATTATATATGCGTATGTATAAAACAGATATATATACAAATTATGAAGAAAGTTATTTTTTTTTGTTATAAATTTTTCTATAAATTTATGTCATTATTTTTATAATAAAAAAAGCATCAAACATTTAAAATTTTTTGAATTACTTAATATTAAATTTTACATTTATATATTAATATACAATTATTATAAATTTGTTAATTACTTAATATATCGAAACAATTATTCTTAAGCGAATAACTTTTATTTTACGCGTTTTGTGTGTTTTGATGATGTTTTATTAAAAATTACTGTCGTCGAAAAATTGATAAAATTAATTATTCTATCGAAACTATAAAGATATTGAGAAAAGAATAAATTAAAAATAATTTTTTTAGATTTCGAGATGATAGCTGAGTAGTGAAAAAATTGAAAATATATAACTTCAAGATATACAATTTCCGCATAATTTGCGAGGCATTTAATTTGTGGAAACTTGACTATATTAAATTCATGCTTAGATTTATATTTAATTGATTGCTGTATCTTTTTATGTAATTAATAAAATTATAGCAAATCTTATCCGTAATATCGTTCGATATAAAACAACTGTTCAAAATGAATCATAATCACTATCGAACTTGTGCCATCATTTATATTCGTGGAAATAATCATCGTAAGATTAACACGAATACTAGTAATACAACTTCAAGGATATATATCTCAGAAAATCGAGATGAAAATCGGACCAGAAAAAGTGACTCATCGAGTGATTTACGATGATCAATGTCATTTCAGAGAAAAAGCTAACGATGAAATTTTATTTTTGGAAATAAATGAATGATTCACACATGAAAAGCGAAATAAAAAGGCGCTTTTATATTTTCTTAGGACTAATAAATGACGTTAATTTAAGAGGAAAGAATAATTTCGTCTTGGAAAATAACGAGTCTAATTCATGAGTGTCATTCAATTATATGTATCTTTCACTGAATGTATGATATTCATGTATAATATTCATGTAAGAGACTAAAAATGAATATCAAATGTTTATTCTATAAAAAACTGACATATCTTTTATCGAATTCAACGTAACAATGGATGCAGTCAAATAAAAAAATTGAATTTGGCAAATGCATTTCACATCATTCTTTTCCGCACGTTTCCAAATCCATTAAAATCATCAATACGCAGAATAGATATTCAAGAACACCTCACTTTAATTTCTGATCGGGAAGCTAAAATTAATTTATTATAAGATTCTAAAATTAGAGTGTCATAATATTATATTTAAATTAAATAAAAATATGCACGCATATATATATATATATATATATATATATATATATATATATTTATTTATCTTCCTTATATAACATCTTAAAATAGAATTGATATGAATTTATATTTCACATTTACATATTCACAAATTTTTATAACAGAATGTCGCTTTTTTCTCATAAGAGACGATGCTTTTTTTTAGTACTTTATAAAATTTCATCGAGAATGTGCGCTAATTTTGTGCTGCCGTTTCACAATTTTCATCTCCGACATTTCCTAAGAAAGACACTTTTTTTTCTTAAAAAGAAAATTTTATTCTGTTATATTTTTACGAGGTCGCGTATCCAAGAGATTTGTTGTTGAAAAATAATACAAACTAGGAAATAAACACTCTGTATTACTAATCATCTGTAGTAATAAATTTATAGTCAGCCTGCAGAATTTATAGTTTATAGTAATAGATGTAAATTATAGTGTGCGAAATTATTTTAATTTATCACGTGGAGAAAAAATTAAAATATATAAAAAAAAATAAATAAAAATATGCAAAAAAACATCGAACACGAACTTTTTCTTTTTAATATTGAAAACTCAATTGAGAAATAAGGATAAATGCAAATGTATATTTATTACATATAATGCTTTGAATACTACCATCAACAAGTATAAACAATATATGCACTCAGATGCATATCTCCGTTTCATTTATTTCGAAGTAGAAATGTAAAACTATAGTCAGACAGACGTAGATATTTGTGGCATGTATACCATGCTTTTTCTACTTCTTCTACATTTCTGAAAGGAGCGATATATATATTATTGCTTTCACATTCTAATGTTTTTTTAGACTCGCCATGATGTGCGATAAATAAGTTACAAAGAACTACATACAACGTATATACATAAATAATAAACAAATTCTTTGTCAATTCTGCTTACAAATTATGATGTATTATTATATTATATTATATATTATAAAATGTAAGCTATTTTAATTCATTTAAAAAATTTCTTTTAAATTTAATTTTTTTAAAAAATTTTATGAGAATAATTCTGATGTGCTATTTTATTTAAATAATTTTTTCTACGTACAAAATGTTACAAATCTTTTTGGACATTTCGTAGATTTTTTGTAAAAATTTTAACAAGAATAAAAATAATCTCTGACTCTTTTTCGACTTGGCGACATACAAGCACAAAGGGTTGGGACTCGAAATAACGAGTGATTCAAAAAATATGCGACGCGAAGGCGCAGAGGATCGGAACGTTTATTTATAAATGCATATTCTTTTCAATGCCGATTAACTATATTTATTCCAGAATCCAAAGAGCAATCGCTAAATTTATGATATTTATACATTTAAATAAGCATATCTTAACTTTTGGAATTTGTATCGCGTTTTATTTCATTCTCGAGATTTAAGAAACAAAAGGTGAACCGCGCGAAAAGTGTGCTTAAAATAACCGCTCCCAAAATCATCAACATCAGCAAAAAGAGAAAAAAGGAAATGTCGTCGTCTTCGTGATAAAAATAACGCAAGTTTTGCAGAATATGAATCGGTTATAGTTTTCAATTATAAAAAAAGATATTATATTATTACAGAATATTCTAAAGCTATCTTCATATTTGAAAGATTTGTTTGTAAAAAATTTCACTTGTTTTCATGTATAAATAACGAACTATAATAATATGACACTGTAATTAAATATATTCAAAATTAAATAATTAAAATATGAGAATATAAAATAAATATAAAAATAATTTTTTATTAAATTAATAAAAATATTTTAAACTTAATTAAATCCATAATATACTCTATTAAGATAATCCTTTATTCAGGCGTAAAATTAAAAAATAAAATTAATATTATTATTAAATTTTTAAATATTACTATTTATTAAATAAATCTTTTAATTAATCTTTTTTCGAGAAAAGAAATTAAAAATTAATAAATTGTAATTTGTAATTATTTATAATTATTATTATAATATATATAATATTAATAATATTAATTTTATTTTTTAATTTTACGTCTGAATAAAGAATTATCTTAATAGAAAATATTATGGATTTAATTGAGTTATATATATTTAAAAATATTTAAAAATATTTATAAAAAAAGAAATGTAAAAATAAAAAAGATGATTAAATTAATTTATTATAAAATATATATTTAACAAATAAAAAATTAAAAATAAAGAAATAAAAGAAAATTAAAAAGTTTATATTTAGAGAATATATAACCTCCTAAAATATTTATAAACTTATTTATTTAAAAAAGAAAGTAAAAGTATACAGAAATAAGAAAAATAAGTGAAATAAATATTTATTTATGGATTTTTAATTTGAAAAGAGAAAAACAAAATTTATTTATTTGCAGATTTAGTAGATTTTAAGGATATAAAGGGATCGAATTTTTAAATATATTTATATTATAAAAAATGACTAATTAAAAACAATTCTTACATATAATTGCAGTATTATTGCATAAATGATAACATTAAACAATAATAATGAATTGTAGTAATGAGAATAGCAACAATGATAGTAATCTAATTATATATGAAAATAAAATTTAATAAGATTACTTATATATAAAAAATAAATCTATAAATAAATAAATAAATAATCTACAAATAAATAATATATAAAAATATATAAAATATAATATATAAAAATAATAAATAAATAATAATATCTATAAATAATAAATAAATATATAAAAAACAAATAATCTCTCTTTTTATATATCAATTCTTTTTATATATCAATTCTTTTATAATAAAGAAAGAATAGTAATAATAAAAACATTCGATTTCAATGAAGATACACAGAATTACCTGTATGCTAAAAAAGAACATAATATAAGAAAATATAAAACGATCTGAATAAACATTAATTACTGTACCTAATTATATGAATATTGGCTCCATCTATTATTGAATTTTACAATTACTTGCAACTAAAACTTGAGGTTTCGATTCACCTCGGCAGTCATTGGCTATGTTCAATTTGCCGCTATACAAGCGCCAAAATTAAAAGCGCTTGGTTGACCAATCAGAATAAGAAAACCTTTGCTCTTTGTCTCGATCAATCAATTAAACGCTTCCAAACACTTGCTCTTAATTAAATATAGCCAATAATAAAAAAGTATAATAAAATGACTTGAAACGAATCACAAAAAATGAGCTTTTACAATCTGATTTACCAAATCATCAAAATTTACCAAGACAAAGTAAGACAACAATTCTTTGAACAGAAAGAGATGAAATCGTAAATGTAGAAAGTATAAAAGGGGCAAACCTGATCAAGATACGAACACCTTTTACGAAGATGAAAGAGATTCGCTCGCATTAGAGCCGGAAATTTCGCACCGCTTTTAATTCTTCTTTCTTCTCTCTCCCTCTCTTTTTTTTCTTCCGAATACATACTTGTCTCGCTCTACGCGCACCAGGGACAAGGAACCGTAACGCGCGGCGCCGAGAAGGAAACGAAGGAAAGACGCTCTCCGTGAACGTAGGCCTTTAACGCTCGGCGACCAATCGGCGCTCGCGTCACGGCGCGCCGATTGGTCGCCGCGTCGCCGCGCGCGCCGATTGGCCGCTCGCCGTCGAGGGTCTTCGCGTTCACGGAGCGTCTCCTCTCCGGGCTCCCAGTCTCCTCGTCGGCCGCGCCGCGCGTTTACGAGCGCACACAGCGTCGCTGCGCGACCTTGGCGGGAGCAACGGCTGCGCTAACGGTAGGCGCCCGCAAACGCTTCGGAAAAAGGCAGTCTCGACGGGGAGAGGGGAGGGGAGAAGGAGGGAGGGAACAGGACAGCGCGCTTTCCGTGTCGCCCATTGTTGTCCTCGTCGCGCGTGTAATGGCCACCGCGAACATTTGTTAACGCGTCGTACGCACGCTACGTCGCATCGCGCCCCGGCCTAGCCCGTGCCACGGATAAACACCAGGAGTCGCGTCCGGCACGCGTATAACGCCGTTCGCGGCAGTTTTACGCACCGCCGTCGGCGAAACGGACAGAGAGAGCGAGCGAGCGAGCGAGAGAGGAAGCGGGACAGAGAGGGCGAAGGGGAGCGACAGAGAGAAAACGAGAGACGTGCATACTCAACGGCGGAGGAGCGGCGGCAACCGCGCGCTTCGTACCTACAGTCGCCGCAACCGCCACCGCGCCGCTCTACGCAGCCGACCATGATTTGCGCGGGCCAACGCTGCTGCTTGACAAGCGTGTGATTACGAGAGGTGATTATTCGCGCGCGCTTCGACCGCGTGCCGAAGCGTTGCGAGCGCGCCCAGCGCTTAACCAGCCGAGCCGAGCCGAGCCGAGCCAAGCCAAGCCAAGCCGAGTTGAGTCGAGTCGAGTCGAGTCGAGCGGAGCCAAGCCGAGCGGAGCCAAGCCAAGCCAAGCCGAGCCGAGCTGGACGACTAGGCGGGAGTTCGGGGAACCGAACGGAGGTGCGAGCGATCGGACGCGGATCCCGGTCGTAGAGTCTCTCCAGTTGCCGAGAACGCCATTGATTTCTCGGAGCGCGGGCCGATCGCGCTCCTCGCAAGCGACGAGAGCGTCGCGCGCGCGACACAACACGAGGGGAAGAACACCCACCTTCCCCCCTCCCCTCCCGCCATCTATGCGCCTCGGTTCTCTTGCTCCGTAGATGTTGTACGCGAGTCGAGTGTGCACGAGCCGAGAGCCACGCGCGAGATCGTCGTCTTCCTCGGGGTGAGCCACGCGGCCTTTCGCGTCGTCGCCGTCATGGCAACTGGAGGATCATCGGTTACCGCACGGCAGCCGGACTTTTAACCCCGCGGCTCGTCGGACTATCGCACGTGAGTATGTTTATCACTCGTGTCGGACACGGTGCAGCTCCCGTTTTCGCGCGCTCGTCAAACACGGTTCGCTTCTCTCGATTTACTCTCCACCCTCTCTCGTCTTCTTCGCATCGCACTTCCCCGCTGCGTCCATCGCGCCAGAGCCGCGTCCCTCCTTTATCACCCTTGGCGTGGCTTTGATCAGGGGGTTCGTCCGTCCTCGCTTAGGGTAGAATCTCTCCCTAGTTGCTTTCTCGCATACCTTGCACGTTCACGTTGCTTGTTCTAAGACGATAGTTTACAACGACTGCCTATTGATTGTGCAGGGTCAAAGGCAATACATCAATGGCCCTAGAATCAAATGGCAACAACGTGGTGTGGTTGAACACAACCCGTCCTGATCAAATACAGCAGGTATGCGTCGCGTGCGAGGCAAATTAATGACAAGCGAGGAAGCGTGTATGTTTGCGAGCAATGACCGAGTGCTGGTTTATCGTCGATTTTTACGACTATTCATACGACTTGCACTCGAGACTCGTGTTTGAGATATTGCGAATATAAAGCTTATAGTAATATAATTTCTTTTTTATTTTTTTAGCTTCGATATCAAAATATTGTCTGACGAGTTATTCTAAACCAACAGAGTCAACCGATCGAGCAGCCATTGAAGTGTTCTATGTTTACTCAAACGGAGCAGACTAACAGTTTTACTCAGACAGAGCAGAGCAATTCGAGTTACGGAGATCAGAGACAGGTTTGTTTGTTTCTTTTATTTATTTAATGAATAAAATGTATAATAGAGAAATAGACTTGTTCTTTTCTCTCTTTGATTAATCGTGTCAATTTTTCTCTTGTACAGCAGCAAACAGCAATGTTTGACCCGCAGCAGATCCAGCAGCAGCAAGCTGCTGCACAGGGCCAACAGTCGCAGCAGCAGCAGTCCCAGCAGATGTATGTCACGGATAAGAAGGAAGACAAGTCGCAGCAGCAACAACAATCCACTACTTCCGAGTTCCCTTCCTCCTTCTACTACAACGTCAACATGCTGCAGAAGGTTCAAACAAACGCGGTGAGCACAATCAGTGCAATCGCCGACGACAAGGGTTGTTATCGTTTCGATGTGCAACCTGTTGGTTATAACACATTACTGAATCAGATGAGCATTGCCGCTGCCACCAATGCGACCTTCAAGTGTGAGATTTGCGGGTTGGTCTTTGGCCATGTGAGCCTGCTGCAACATCACAAACGGATTCACAACTCGACGCCCAACAGCAATCTGCCGCAACAGCCACAGCAGATTGTGGTACAAGGACCGACAACAGTGACTGTTGCTACCACACCAGAAAGACCATACACCTGTGACACTTGTGGAGCGTGTTTTGCATTACCGGGAGAATTAAAAAGTCACAAAACAAACATGCATCAGAAACCTAAGGTGCAACTCTGTGAAGATTGTGGCAGTGAGGACCCATGCGAACATCATCCAACTAAAGTTAAAAAGAGTATGTCTTTTGCAATTATTTTCAATCATAACCAGTGTTGGTCTCACAGTGATATCATTGATTTCAATGGCATTGCAATGGTAAAGGATTTAATCGACAATATCTTCGTTAATATTGTTAAAAATTTTATTATTACAAGTATAATGCATTACAAGTATAATTTATGCCGCACGGGTCCTAGAATACAATTATTCGTGGACTTTGCTTTAGTTGTAATGCAAATTGTTGCCACTGCGATATCACCTACAGTCGGATATGCGAATCTTTTCAACATAAAAATAGAAACATGAATTCGTTTGTGTAGCTATCAAACCTGGTCATCATCCTGTGAAACGGAGGGGTGTTACCAGTGTCACCAAATGTCACAAGTGCAATGGCACTGGAATTATTTTTATTGGTGAGTATCAGTTCTTTCAACTTTCGACTGTTGATTAGATTTCATTTGATACCGCTGATAGGCCGGATAAAGATGTTGCTGATAAAACGCGGCGTTATTTTTCTTTTAAATTTTTGAACTTAGATTCAAATTTTTATATTTTTAACAATATTGATACAAGCATATTGTTACAAACTATGCTCGTTATTGTATCTGTATTAGCAACATCTTGTTTAAATTTTTGCTCATCCTTTTCCATCCATACGTTTCATTATTATCATGATCGTACATCGGATGATGTATGGTAGGTAAACACGACGAAAAACTAGATTCCGGAATCAGTTCCCTCGCAAAGTGTGGCGGCTGCAAGGCTACAGGCCGCATCGTCATAGGAAGTAAGTCGGATATAATTATCGTCAACACACACAGTATGGGATCTATTTTGATTAATATGTCTCAGTAATATTGTCTTTCTTGGATACTGATAGTTTAAATTTTCCGCGATATATTCAATATTTGCATATCGGATTTATTGATATTTGAATCAGCGCACTCTGGCACCTTTATGATTTATAGAAAAATATTCAATTACATTGTACATAAGAAACATATTGAAATTAATTTATAATATGGATTTAAAAAGTTCATCAAATCTCAAACTTAACATTTAAGAAATATTAATTTAAATCAATCCAAATATCTTTTTATTAGACATGTTTATTAAAAATACTCGAGAAAACTTTTGAGCATTTTCAATAAACATATCACAGAAATGAGAGAGAATGGTTTATTGGTGAAATTGGTCTAAATTAATATTTTCTAAGCATCGAGTCTGTGATGTTTATTTTTCTTAAATATTACTTTACTTTTTCTTGCATGTATATTTTTGTAGATGGAAAATATACTATTCCCTTTCTTTTTTATTTTATTATTTTTTAATTTTTATTTAATATTGCTATGACAGATTTCAAACTGGTTGTGATCTTTTTATTTTTTATTTTTTATTTATTTTTTTTAGTAGAACTGTTGACATCTAAATTTAAGGACGATGACACAGAATAAAATCCCCTAAGGGACAGTTTTATAAATTTATATTACATTGTAACGTTTTCCATATATGCGATAAGCTATACTATTAAATTTCCGTTCAGTCGTTTACAATTCTTTGAATTCTTTCGCGATATGGCCCATTAGAGATCATTTTTCACAGACGCGTGATGGAAACAAAGCTACAAGTTTCATATCGCTTATGGCGTTCAGATTTTCTTATAGCACTAACTTTTACAATAGTCTGCATGATCGAATTATTTCACACATCAATTGTTACATTTAATTATTTCATTTTGTGATTTCACATTTCATATATATATATATTCCTTTTTTGAATGTATAAGAAAAAATAAATATTATAGTACCATAAACAAATCTCGCATCGCGTAGATTGATAGATTTTTCACAAATAAACTTCGAGCTTATCACTTTTTTGTAGAACTGGCCCTTTGAGGAAAACTAAAGTCTTGTCTATATTTTCAATTTCAGGTGGCAAGCAAAACAGTCAGAATCAGGCAGAGAAACCATTTCACTGTAACGTTTGTGATGGTACATTTTCTCGATATTCTTCGCTCTGGTCCCACAAGAGACTTCATTCAGGAGACAAGCCATTTAAATGTGAAGTTTGTGGTTTAGCATTTGCAAAGGGTAAGTAAATAAAGAATTGTATAAACCGCAAATAATAATGAAGTATACTCGTTTTTACGTGTAATGACTGATCAGCTTATATAAGCTTATTTTATGACGGAAATTATTATTGCGTTTCTTTTTTTTCTGCCAGCTGCCTATTTGAAAAATCACGGGCGAGTTCATACTGGTGAGAAGCCGTTCAAGTGTAGTGTATGTGGCATGCAATTTTCACAAAGCCCACATTTAAAGAATCATGAGCGAATTCATTCCGGTGAACGACCGTATCAGTGCGAGGTTTGCGAGAAGACATTCGCCAGACACTCGACACTTTGGAATCATAGAAGAATCCATACTGGCGAAAAGCCATACAGGTGTAACATTTGCGGTTCTGCTTTCAATCAAGCCACGCACCTCAAGAATCACGCTAAAGTTCATACCGGCGAAAAGCCACATAGGTAATATCGCGTTCGAATTTCTTAGATTGAATATTTTGTTTATATTTTCAATTGCATAAGAAATTTTTTGTTCTCTCAGGTGTGATATATGCGAAATCGGTTTTTCCGATCGTTTCGCACTCAAACGTCACCGTGCAATTCACGAAAAGTACGGTCAGACGGCGCGAAATCAGAACGCTAATAATCCGGCTAACGCACAGCAAGCTAACGCAAGTAGTCAACAACAACAGCCGCAGCAGCAGCAACAGCCGCAGCAGGCGCAACAAGGCCAAGTCGTGGTTGTGAATGCGACTACTCCCGTCACCGTCAGCCAAGGGCAAGGCCAAGTGATGCTCGATGAGGTCTACAAGTGTCAGGTGGCCTTCCCAGAGCCTAAATGATTCAGCTAGAGAATACCTTTCAGGAGCTGGTAAAGAGGTTAACTTTTCTAATCTTTTTTTTTTAAAAGGATATTATCTTGAAAAAAGGCGAAATCTATGAATGTATGATATTGAAGATAAATGTGTGGACTATGTCCTAAAAGAATCAGGTGAGTCCAGCATGAGTGATCGAGCAGTGCGTCTCTTTTTTCTCGCGTGCGATGACTCAAATTCTATGGAAGAATATTTGGTTACATTTTTATCCGTATCTATGTCCAAACTACTGATAGTAGTTTGGACATAGATATGTATAAAAATTTAAAAAAAAAAGGAAAAAAATGGACAAAAAAGACTCTGCGACATTGCGCGAGTGAATGTTTCGTGGAATGTGTCCTCGGAAGAGTTTGGCTCGTAATATAACGGACAATTCCCCAACCGCCAAGATCAACGAAGTCTCTTTGTGAAGTAATAGAGAAATACGTCTACCTTTATATTTTGTCTTTCGGAAAGGTGGAAGAATAATTGAATCGCGCGGTATATTTCATATATATTAGTTTTTTAAAAACGAAACGGGAAATATAATTGTATAATCGTATTATTCTTTCTTATGTGTGTAATAATCGTTGATTTTTCCTTAAGAACAAAATTGCTAGACATTTTGCCAACATTTCATAATTCCGTGAATGGCATTGTGCAATAGTTTTGACAAATTTTACGATTAGATCGATAACAAAATGTACTTTTGAATAATTGTAACAACAAAGAATTGCGGCGGCGTGTATTTCGGCGATAAAAAGCGCAAGTATGAGGTATTAGGTTCTTTTTTTCAGTAAATCAGAAATACAATTTCAAATGAAAGGAAAAAAATTGCCCGTACCTTTCAATGCTCAAACCTCGGCCCTTCTGATTTTCAGGTGATATCAATGTAAAGACAAATTATTTTTACGCGTTATTTCAATGTAAAATTGTATTTAAAGATTTTAGTATTGGAATTTTCATACATTTTCAATCGCAAAAATTTATCTGACAAGTATGAACGCGAAAATGGATTTGCGAATAGAGAATTTTCATCGGCGCTTAATTGCGGATAGCGTGGAACGGAACGACATCGCGATCTGTGCGAGCCTTCTTCCGTCCAGTCATTCGGGATCAGAAAGCATCGCATTACCGAGATGATGATAACAACGACCATGATAACAGCGGCGAAAGAGTAGTGCGGCACATACCTATATAACTCGCTGGAGCTGCAATAATAATAGTAAATATCGACGGGCAGACTAATCCGTTTTATAATTTTAAGAGGCCGCGAACTATATGAATATATTAGTTAATGAATAGTTACTAGTTTGTAACGAATAGTAGCTGAGCTAGGATATTATCTATATATATATATATATATAAAAATATAAAAATATATATATACATTAATTTTTATATCCCCACTTGTTAAAGCGATCCCGCACCGTCGCTACTTTTTAAGTATCAAGGATCACCAAACGAATAGATTGTACATTGATAGCTCCATACATTCATGATTGGCAACTTGTGTGCTATAAAGTACAGTCGCAATATATGTATATCGTTTTCAAAGCTGTTATTTGGATCCTCTCGAGAGCATCGATAGATGATTCTTCTTGCAATTGTTTCGCGAACATTACTTTTTTTATTGTCATTCTTGCATCTTTATTTGCAAACTTACTAACTCACCAAGATATTATTAGCGGGAAGGGATACTATGCACCATCTTCCTTGATTTTAGAAAAGATTTTATAACGCATCGTAAAGAAAATAAACACAAGCGGCTTGAAGATTTCTCAAAAGATAATTTTTTTTATACAAGATTACATTTTCGTGGAGTATTATGATAGACATGTCATTAAGTCTATGTGATTGTCAATAAACTCGCTGCTCGAATTTTGTACAGAATTCGAAATTGAGAATATTTCTGTTTTATTAATTAATTTGTAAAATAAAGATATACAATTACATAATTTTACTTTTATATAATTATAATACCTGTTACAGTATTTTTTCAATTAGATTAGAAACTTATGCTCTAAATTTCCTATCTTTGTTTTCAGTTTATCAGAATTAGAATAGAGCTATTTAAGCCTTGACTTATGAGTCAGCAATTAATTTATCATCACTATGTATTACACCTTCATTTACAAGATTTTCACATTATAGGAAAAACGATAAATAATTATGTTATAACGCATAAGTTGTAGTATGTCGAAGACTAGAGAGAAAGTGTGATGATATATGCGCTCAAAAACTGGTTTAGTCACAGATTAAATTATCTAACAATAAGTTAAAAATATGAATCATAGTCAGCACATAATGCAGCATCGTAAGATTTACTGCGAAATGGCATATTTTGTTCTCTCTTCTATATTATGAAAAAAAAGAAAAATTTCCCATTTCAAGAATTGATCTTTAATTGATATATAAAATATCGCGACGATAAAATATCGATATCAAAATAAAGATCATCTTTGAAATTTTTTTCAAGATTTTGTACATATTTGTGATAATTTTCCTTTTTTTTCTTAATATTATTGATAGAGAGAACTCATCCTAAATAGTTTTATTAAAGCAGGAACGTCACTCTTCAGTATTCTGTATATTCGCTAGAGTAAGCGCAATCGTTTCACACATAAACAGTATTGTTACAATTGTTGAACTTTTTTTTAGGAGGATATACAGTAATAAACGAACGAACAGCGAGAACATCAAAAATCAGATTTATCTAATTTGATATAATCTTCTTCTAATTTGATATAATTTGATATAATCTTCTAAAATGTTAATAACGAATATTCGTATTCGTTATTAAAATTCCGAAACTTTTCGTTCGTTCGTTCGTTGCGTACTAACTTTTTCATGAATGATTTATGACTCACAGATAATAATATATATCGAGAGAGGGTCACATTGAAACGGCTTTCATATACTTCACAATCATCTTTTTGCATTATTTTTTAAAGGGAAATATCCGCAATCATCGTACAATAGACATTTAATTCTTAATTCTTAAATTTATTATAGAGATAATTTTTCGAAATATCTTAAATTTTCATGATTCTTCATTATCCGACTCTTTGATGATAGAATATTTTTTACTTTTTTGTATATAACAGTTAATTGAACAATTTATCTCGACAATTGACATCATAAATGCCTAACTACATATTTTACTTTGTATATCACACATATAAATTAATAGAAATCTTCTATATTTTTAATGCTCTTAAATGAATTTTGGAAATTTTCCCTCTCATATAAGAATATACATATATCTGTAACATTATGTACACATGCACATAGAGACACATAATACATTAATTACTTATGCGAATGAAGAATTTTTTTCATATACTTTTATTGTGTTATAGAGTCAAGGATTTTTGATTATGATCAATCTTTGAATACAATTATGTCTTTGTCTATTCATAAATAGACATAATAAGAGTATAAAAAATGCTATTACAAAATATTTCAAAAATTGAATAGGAAGACTAATTTATTGATAAAAAAAGATATATAAAAGACTAATAAGAATGTGGTCATAACGATCGATAGCGATAATACAAATTATCCCCTCGTGCAACACGACACGTTTTCAATTAATATTCCACATAAAAAACGTATTTTTGGGAAAAATCTCTATTTTGATTACCTTACTATCTCTATCAAAACTGTGATCCGATGGTCAAATTTGCGGTAGCACACAATAATAAGCGTCCTCGTCAAAACTTGAGACAAATATACTAGAACTGTTCACGAGCGAATACTTTGCGTTAACGTAAACGCGAGCACTTTTTCCGAAAATGCTTTTGTATACTTATACCTATGTCTCAAAAAAAAAAAACTAACCGAGAAGAATTGTAGAAATCGAGTAATACCAGAGCGAAGTGTACGAATATAATTACGAATTGTTAGTAATTCTAAGTAGTTTGTCGAGAATTGCTGCAGGGGATACAGGCCGTGCTATATATTTCGAAGTTATTATTATTTTACTATACCATACACATCGTGTAAAGATATTTTTTATAAACGAGAATATTTTTTCCAATAATGTATTTCTAATTCGCCAAATTACCAATTGTAGCTGCCAAATAATTTAGTTAAAGCAAGATAGAAGAGAGATGACTTTTGATGGTGTGTCCCGCAGCAATTCCATGTATTCCGAGATAATATTTCTTAGGCAAAGAACTTAGAGCTTCCGTTTGAATCAAAATTATCTGGAAGCGTCTTCCTTAATATCACGCGTATGTGTACTCTGGTTTCGCCAAGACTTTGCGATTTCACTGTACATATGTTTGTAAAGCAAGAAAGAAAAAAACCTCTACGTGCAGAGATTCTGGAAATATCTTTTTCCATTATTTTATTCGCTATTATCGTGCCCGTATATAATTTTAAGAATCTTCAAACGTAAACTTGCAATTGGACTTGTAATTTTGCGCTTTTACTGTAAGGGTCGAGGTTTCGGAGTGATGATTTTATGAAAGTTAAATTTTTTATTTGTCCGATAAAACTTGCGTTCCCGAAAAAAATACCTCGTACGCAAAGATATCCCCGAAATCCCTTCGAAAAGCATTCGACCCTTTTTTTCAGCACGAAACTTTTAAGGCCTGAAAATCAGATATGTTTTCTTGCGCGTATTGTAATTTTATATTTATGTAAAGTAACGAGAACGCATGTCTGCAATTCAAATTTATTTTATTTTCATTCCGTTTAAACGTTTATTATTTTTACCTAGCAGCACTTATCTGATTTGATTGATTTAATAATTAACAATGATAATTTAACGAGCATCATGTACGAATAAAAGAGGTCATGCAGATTAATTTGTCACGCCTCGCTGGATTAATTTATAATATATCTGTGAACAGTATAACGACGATCGTAGTGATTTTTGATAATAAAACACGTTCCTAATAAATTATCTGTTCTTTATATCGTATGATTAAGCGTAACGATTGTAAAGGCGATACCCGGATACTGAGTATTGTGGATATCGTTACCTGCTCTGAGCGACGAAATGTAAATTAGGATTAAATGGCCTCTCGTAAAACGTAAGGAAGATTAAAGACCCTTGGACAAATTTGCAATTTTTTAAGCTAATCTATAACGCATTATCGTGCGAATATGACATGTGGGCATAACGGTTATTCATTCCCCGAGAAACATTTTAATGATTTATTTGTTATTATGTAAAAAAAAAAGAATTGTCGCGCACGAGCAAAGTGGAAAAGAAACGAGCCGTTAGTTTGATTAATAGGATGCCATTATTACGACTACACGTCGGTATTCTTACGTTAACTACGAGAGTATATTGGAATATATCACGTGTCTTTCTCTTTTTTTAACCCGCGCCTAGAATCAATTTGACTATTTTGTATCATATAAGATGGTGATGTAGGAAAGAATGTATCTATAAAATGCGTTACTTTGATGTAAGTTAAATCATCCTCTCTCATTATATATATCGCGCTCTAGCTTTATTTTTTTGATTCAGCTATCATGAATTTTTTAATTCACGGATATCAGCGAAAAGAATCGTTTTATTAAGTTTTCTTTTCCATTAGTTGTTTTGCTTATTACGCATGCGAGTAACTCGATGTGAAACTCGATGAACTCTTGATTGTCCGAAATTAAGAGATGAGTAATTATAATAATGTAATATACATATATTATAATATTTTATGTGACTATAAGATAAATCTTTGTCTGCAATATATATTGATGAAATTTTATTTAAGAAAATGATATGAACTTAAAAGAATTAATTTTTATCAACTATTTTATTTCAAGACAAAATATTTTTTTTAGTAAAAAATAAATGTATACATTGTTCTCCAAAAAATATTTAAAAGGCGCTCAAAAAAATTGAAACTTACAAAAATGAAATTTTAAAAATTTTTACAAATTTCTTTCATTTTAATTAAGGAATGATCTCGCTCTTACTGATGAGTAAAATAATTTTCCGCGAAAAGTTTTAAATCAAATAAATTAATTTTGGATAATAAACAGTTCGTTGCGAGTTATATGAGATGGCCGTGACCGACAAATTTATTCATGTATACACCGTTTTATATACGAGGAGAGAAGAGAAAGAGAGAGGAAGAAGTCATAAGAGGAATGTCATTTTAGATTAGTCTGCTGTCAATATAACTAGAATGATAATTTTGAATGTAACGTGTATCATACTTGACTATCGCCTAGATAACGAGCAACCGTACCGAATAAAGGAAACTAGCGCACGATTATATCAGACCTTAGGTAATAATAATAAATGATGTCCGATGGACATTTTCATTTTTGAAGACTCCTGGGTGAATTTTATTTTTGTCGTGTCTGTGCATGCGTGCGTGCGTGCGTGCGTGCGTGAGCGCGTGTGAGCCACAAGAGAAACACATGTTATTTTATACATTGATTATATATGGAAAGATAAAACTTTGTAGATTTCGAAAGGTCACAATAACCATTTGCAAAGTTATCACTTCATTACCAGACCCGATGTTATCAATAATTCCAGTACGTAATATGTGATACAATTATGGATTATCGAATTGTTTGCGTAATTGATTTTATTATAATCACACTCGTTATATATATGTATAGATATTTTCCAGAGATAACAAAAATAATTTCAAATAATTCTTTAACAATGTATTTTGAAAAAATGAGAGGAAAATTATATATTTTTCCTTTCTTTTTCACTATTAATATTTTTATATTAGTAAATAATCAAATGAATTTAAAATCAATTATAATCTAGATTTAATTTCTTTTTAGAATTTGTGTTCAACTATTATTCTCTCTAAATGTTTATATTTCGGCGTATATAATTTATATATTTTTACATGTACGTTCGAAAGAGCTTAGTTTGCCGAGCTTTCAAGTGTTCGAGGTATCAAAATGATAAAGAGATATAGATCTAAACGTAAATTTAATCTTTTAAAAGCATATTTTACGCAATAATATCTGTGTCAATTATAACTAACTAACTACTTACGATAAGCTTATTTCGGTCATTTTTAATCTTTATTTTTTCGCGATAATAAAAGCAATTAAATTACATGTAAATCTCTATCCGTGATATCAGCTGATCGACTCCAATCACGTCGCGCGCGTGAATACGTGACTTTAATCGTCGCAGCTGTCATGGCGTCGTCGCGAGTGCCAGGATAGCCTCGACGAGAGATTTCCACGCTGTTTTTTGAGGAATACTTGGATTTTGCGACGTGACGCGATGTTGATCGCGACGTTATCCGATCATCGTTGAAAATCGCATCTGGCCGAACGGATCTGGAAATTCAAAGGTATAATTACGAAGTAACGCGAAGCAAAAATTTCGCCACGACGAAGCCCGGTCTCCTCCCCCATCCCTTTTTTCTGTCGACGCTTTATATACGGATCGTGTGTTTTAAAGAGTTGTCCGATCTGCGAATGACAGTCGGAGTCACGAGTGTGATTTGATCCCAGGAATCCGGCTTCCTCGTCGACGAAACATTCGACTGACACCGATACAATTTCCAATGTGTTCCGATTTCCGTGATATTAATGGAAAAAGATGCGAAAATGTGTCATCGGTAAGGTGCGATTTGTCTCGAAACCTTGAAGGCTAATTTGGCTCGATATTGTTATGGCAATGTTGCTAATTTATGCATTAGTGATACATATTAAGGGAACCCACAAATGCGCGCGCGCACGAAGGAAGATGTTAATTATTTGTTTATTCAATTGCCGAAGTAACGAATCTTTTCTTGTCTTAGTTTTCGAGGACCTCGAGACGAATACATTCCGTAAATTCTTTCAATTCCCGGGGTCGTTTTTAATCCGTTAATTGTTTATTTACAAGCACAATAATTAACTCATTTTCATGCAATTATATTAATTCAAAATATTTTCGTGCAATTGTATTAATTCAAAATATTTTCTTTTCCGCAGTAGTGTTTTTTTGCGAAAAGTCGGAAAATAAATATTTTTAATTTATTGAAAACATACACACCCGATGCAGTTTTTGATATATAATACTCTTCATAATACGTCAAATCATTATTTACATCGCATTTGCATCGGAAAAAACGTACTTCAGTTCGCGAACGGATAAATCACTTTCCTCCTATCATCTAACGGGTGTATCTGGAGCGTGATAGGTCTCTGCGACTCCCGACGATTGTGTAAACGACACCACAGTCGCATGGTTGCAAAGTACACAATCTCCATGAATGACAGAAAACTGAAGCCCAAAAAGAGACCGAGCAAGCCGCCCGTACTTGCTGCAAATTATGCCCGAGATTAATTATTAATTAATAAAACTTTATAATTAATAAATCGTTTTCGAGATCGGATACTTACACAGAAATTCGGTGAATCCGTAGAGCTCATTTTTTACGTATTTCGTGAATTGAGAGTCTACGAAGAACAGGTGAACTACCGCCGCATTTTCCCTACGTAAATAATTTTAGGGATTAAAATGAAATATACAAAAAAATGTATCATATGTGTGAAAATTACGTGTTTACAGGGCAAGGGCGTCTTTAAGTGTATGATTTGTGATAAGAGCGGAAATAATATATGTACAGGCGCATATACAAGGTGTCCAATATAAAAAAGAGAAACCCGTTTTATCTTAATGACTTCTGTTATTCAACTTTTTGGCAAAGAAAACATAGGAGAGATATATAATTGCTTATAAATTTCCTCCATAATCAAAATGAAGTCTGTATTTAAGTTCTAATGTGGTTTTTCGTAAAAAATAAGGAGAATCTCTTTATAAAGATTTCCGGGATACCTTGTATCTTATAAAAAACCTGTTGCACTCTTTTATTCACATTATAACGAGTACTGTTTTTTGCGATATTTTTTGTGTGAAATCAAATAATTACGTGAAATAATTTAAATTTTTCTTCACGTATTGTTTATCGATGTTGAAGGTCGACGATAATTTATTCTGCGAAAGCTCTATTCTATAATTGATCTCAAAGCAGCCAGGCCAGCAGTTGCAGCTCGGTCTGTAAAATAAATACACGAAAATTCGTGAGAGCAATCGCGCGATTTTTCTGTCTCACTAGAAAAATATACAATTTGGAGTAGAACCCACACTTCCGTAAGGTTTATCGGATTCAGATCCTCGACATAGAGCTTAATTTCCATTTTTTTTCTGGCTAGTGTAGCACACGATTCATCTTTCTTACCGCAGATCGGTGTTTTCGCTGCTTCTGTAAACAACACTATTAGTACAAAAAAATGCTAATATAGAGAAGTGTAGAAAGTACAGTATACAAAGTATGAAACAATTTTGAATACAATTGATCGTCCACTTTCTTCAATTTTTAATTCATAATATTAACATATGTATGATAATAGTTTCAACAGTATGTTTAAATTCTTGCATAAGAAAGATTTCAAAGAATCTTTTGATTATTTGATTGAGATCTAATAATAATAATATTTTAATATTATAAATTATATAATAATTTTTTAATATTATTTTATAATATTTTAATATTTTATTACACACAAAAATAATATTATTTGATAATATATTATCGAGATATTATGTAATCAACGTGACAATTACTTGGCATGTAATACTGCACGCAATGGCAGAGTTTCTGCGTATAATTCGCCTCGCACTCCAGAATGCAATTCCTCTGCGTGTATGTTCGATAGTAACGTAATTTTCGTTCGGTCGTAAAGAAGCACTTCCGCTTATTTTGCGGAATAGAGATTATCGACGGATTGGCAGTCGATATTCGTGGTCTTATAATCACTCGGGTCTCCTCACCTGGCGTGATCGAGAATGAGAAATCGGCGATTTTCGGCGTCTCCACGGGATTATGTAGCAGCATCTGTAAAATCGACCGTATCTCTTAGCATTATCATTTCATTAAGACATGTAACTGTACATTATTGTAGATTTGACTCGAGGATCAGTCGGTGCCTGAAAAAATAATCATAAATTTTGCGAATATTATTCAGAAGAAAGAAACTCCTTATTCATTAATTATTTTATAATTTTATATTTACGTTTATTAATTATTATTTTTCTAGATGCTGATTAATAATTAATAAACGTAAATATAAAATTATAAAATAATTAATGAATAAGGAGTTTCTTTTATGAATGAATTTTAATAAGAATTTTTAATATGAATTTTCGAAATTTTCGCTGGCGAAATAAAGAGGAAAATAACAGAGAGGGGGTTTTTGCAGCGCGATACCTTAAAGCCCATACCAGCGGTTGACGAACAATAATATTCACTTGCTTCCACGTCAAGGACTAAAGTCAAACCGTAAAACAGTCCAGAACCATATGGCCTCCACGGTATAACATCCGCTGGCATACTCGCGTCATATCCCTTTTCAGCATTCCAATCGACGCTGCTGGATGGATATGTTATATTCAAATCGGGCCAGTCGTGTCTAAAATATATACCATTCCCGAATCGAAAATTTGCTTCATTTTGCAACCATTACACTGAGAAAAATATCCGGTGAAAAGGTAATGAACGGATATTATACCGATCATTTTAATCGAAAAAAAAAGAAACCGGTCAGATATCCAATCAGAAAATATCGATCGGTCGGATATCTGATCAGAAAGTTCAAAATTCGAAACTTTCCGATCAGATATCCGATTAAACTGATCGGTATAATATCCGTTCGTTACCTTTTCATCGGACATTTTTCTCAGTGATAGAAATTAAATTCGCACACAATATTTTCCATTTGTATATATCAAAATTGCATAGCGCATTTATGCAAGTTTGATGTAATCGAGCCTCACTCACGGATTATAAAAGAGATGTTGCCTGGTCACCGAGTTGAAATTGCAACAAATACCCTCATCGGTCATCGTAGGATTAAAAATCTTCTCGCAATCGGTCTGATTCCCGTGCCAAAGGCAATAGTACAACATGTCCGTGCATGGCTGAGATACCTGAATAAAATAAAGAAGAATGAAAGTAAACTGAGATAAAATATTCTCAATTATTGACATAATTTCAATCATCAATAAATTTTAATCATCTTAATTTTCTTAGTAGGTCTAACTTTAACATTCCGTGTAGGAAATTATATTATGCTACGTGCATTGATCATAAACCCCAGCTTCTTGTTCCAGTCTATAGCCTCATTCTGATCATAAGTTATGTTGCTTGATTCCGAATGGCAAAAATCGTCCATCAATATTTTATCCAAATCGTCAGACCTGGTAATAAAGATCGCAAAAACGATTGCTCGCACTGATTAATTCCGATAATAATTATTTATAATAATAATTGTTGTATGTATATGATTATATTAATTATATATCAATGATAATAATTATTGATGATAATGAGTTAATGTTTTACCCGCGCGCGATCCGTATTGCTTCAGTTTTTTTGACATTGTTCATATTGCAGATTGTTATGGAAGGAAAAGGGAATTCATTAAGAGAAACCGGCTCGGGACTCAAAGAAATAATGATGGGCGATCCGTTCCACTTTTGATAGAGATAATAGATATAATATGTAGCCATTCCCAACGCAGTGATGAACGAGATTATCCAAAATAGTCTACAAAAAATGCGTTTAATATACTAGAACATTTTTCAGTCTTAGAATTTCATGTATAGTAAGTAATTTCATATAATTAATGACATATATAATTTCGATATAATACTATGTTGAAAATTGTTTCTCGGATCAATTGCTGGAAAGCTGTTTCAAATTTTACTCCCTTTGCGAAATTTTTAATTCGATTTTTAAGGGTTAATTGTCAAGATATCAATATATCATACTGTGTATTTTTTTTTAATTTTTCTATATAAATTTTACCTTTCTATGATTGACAATTCCGAGTTACCAATGTAACGCAAACCGTGAAGAGTGCTGTTCGTGCAATATTGCTTAGTAAGTTCACCGAGTTCGGTGAATAGTTGAGGCTTCTTTTTCTTCAACAATCTAACAAGAGCCATGAAAAATTAGAAAATATAGCGGGAGTTTGGTTTCAAAAAATTTGCCCTCTTACCTTTCGACTTTTTCGTTTTCCTGATCATTGCTCCTATTTGGAATTGATTCTTTAGTAAGATTCTTCGCGAGTAAGTTGTTGTGATACCTCGATCTTAGGGTGAAATCTTGCGATCGGTACATATTCTAAATATGATAACGCTTTGCTCATTTCTGTTCATTACTCGGATCTTATATTTCATATGTGTATTAATCAAATAATTTAGTGAATAAATAAAATATATTAATTGTATACTTTATTTATTCACTAAATTTTTTTTTACACAAATACAATTTCGAATAATAAAAAAGGGATTGTAAATTATTTTAATTGACAACGGTTTACTATTATCGTAAAAAAATTTGAAAGATTTTTCAGACTTTCTTAATCCTACCTTGGAATGATCACGAGCCGGAAATCCCTCCAATCGTTGGGGCGGTTTGTAAGGATTCTGCAGGTGCACAGTGTTGATAGTATTGTTAGTTTTCAGGTAATCTGGCGGTCTATCAGCGGTATTGTAATAATTATTCTCGTTTTTGACATTCGACGAATTACGATTGGAGGATTGCCTCGGCATTACATGCGGATCAAATATCTTTAGATGAGCGAAATCAGGTGTTCTATTTGAAGCGACGTGCGTTAAAATACGCGCATCGTTCCATGAATTAAAAGTCGACTTGGTCTTTTCTAGTTCCGATGATGAATTCTTCATTTCACAGACATGCTCTCCTTTACTTCATTGTGATCATATTTCATTCTTCGACAAATACTCTCATCAAGGGATGATTTTACTTTTTTGACTGCTTTATTTTAGGGTGTTCTAAACAAAATATCGGTTGCTTATATTCGCATTTCTTTTTCGATACACGAGTTAATTATCTCTTATCGCGCTATTATTCAAGAAGCTTATCCAATAGGAAAGTCTAATGTAATAAATAAGAGTATTTCTTTGTTGAAATATAATTGTTTCTCTCGATTTTTTAAATTTTTTCTCGGATTTATCAAATATTTTAACTTTTCATCGTACGATTCAAAAAGAATCACAGTTTGTGAATTCTGTCAGATAATATTGTCGCTCAGTTATATAAGAAGAGAAAAGCTCTTTCGATCCTGTCGCGACGCTTTTTCAAACCAACCCCTAAGACGGCTGACAATTGACTGAAGTGTAACAATAGCAGTCGAGCATCCTCCCAACTTTAACGATACTAGTATCGCAAGCTTTTACGTTATGCGTGTGCGCGTTCATAATCTTCCGGAGGTAAACAATATTCAACGCTATAAAAAGACAGTATGCGACACGATCTTAAACTAAATGAAAAATGTCATAGTTTTTTATTTAGCTTTTAGCCTTAGTTTTAGTGAAATATTCCTTGATGTATTTGTTTTTCTTAAAAAAGATTTCTTGATAAAATCATCATTTGTCTCTTGAATTGATTCTTGAATTTTAATTTCAAAATTTAGTATCAACTTTAGCGATTCTTAAAGAACTGTTTTTCTCGTGACATATTTCGACTGTCTACTGTTCCTTTCTTAATTAGCTGTTTAACGTTCTCCGGCAGTTTTTATTGACGTGGGAAAAAACTTACAAATGTCACTTTAAAGTACAATTATATTAGCCTAAAATGATAAAGAAGCGACATACGAGACTTATCTTAAATTTACTTATAAATATCTACTTTTTTCATCTCTGGAATAGCATATATAATTCTTAAAAATAAAACGTAAAAGTGACGCTTTTTCTCAGTCTAATTGAAGAACATATTTATGATAAGCCAATATTTTCAATGTTATGACCACGCGAATCTACTGTGCATAAATAAAATAAAAAATAAGAAGAAGCGGAGAAATCAAATATTAATCAAATATTAAATAAATATCAAATAATGGATATTTTACAGTCATTCTGATTTCTATTAATGTTAAACGATCACGCGAAACCAGCTGTTCCCCTTATTCAGCATTTGTATTCGAAAACTAATCAATGTAAATATAAAAAAAAACATAATGTTGCTATAACAATGTATATCTTTTTTTCTGTGTTATTAAAAAAACGCGCACGTGTAAAGTATGGCAATTTATTATCGCCATTATGCCATTATTGATCGCATCGAATGCGTATATCATTGATGCAAAGCAGGATAGATCGATGCAAGTATATAAAAGCGCATATGTCGCGTGATTATGAATTGTTATGCGTTTTAACGATGTGATGTTTAACGACGGAACAGGACGCTCTCTTTACTTCGTGTGTGATTACTATCCTTAAACAAAGATGATATTATCATTTAACAAAAGCGTCCATGAATAAGCCTATTTTACGTCATTTTATTATACGTAGAATTTTTTTGCAACTGAATTTTTTTATTTACACTGCCCTCAAATATATATTATTAAATTAAGATATTTTATTTTATTATTATGAGTGATTTTTTTAATTTGTAGAAAATATTTTTTAAATATCTTTTGTCATGTTTGTGTACGACAATCATACACGAATTCCCAAGTGCGTAATAAACATGAATCAGTTTATTTTACAACGTAATGCAAAACGCTATATTCGACTGCTATTATTATTTTTAAAATCCAGAGTCATCTAATTAAACTTTGTTATTATTATTGTAAACGCGATAATATTGGTGTAAGATACAATGACAGCAATAGCATAATGAAAAACCACTTTAAAATAATTTCGACATGAGTTTCGACATTTATGTATATAATAAGACGAATTGTAAAATGATCACAAACTTGTCTGCGTTTGTCGGGTGGAAATGTTTCGTGACTGTGTCTCTCTAATGGATCGTCTAAACGTAATTACAAGACAAACATTCGTGTTATCCTTATCGATGTTCAACGGCACGAGTCGCGACTGGGCGCTTGTCCGGCTGATGGTACCTTGAACAAAATACGTCCTCCTCCAAGTTCACAAGATGACAATGGCAACGATGACAATTATATCAAAATTATTGGCGTTAGGCAGCGAAAACAATTTGTCCGATGAATTTTTAGTCAATCAGCAATTTATCGTCACATTTTAATTTGTCAAAATTGATTCGATGATAATAAGATATGCGCGAATCGAATATTCGTGAGGAATTAATTAATTATTCATGTAGCTCAATATAATAAATAGCTCAATATGATAAATGAGCAATGTTTTCCACGAGGAAAATTACTAAATAATTCATCTTAATTATACGAGTTTTATAAGAGAATTTGCTATTTAACGAGATTATGCAGATATTGAGCAACACATTGCATACATAGGGAAACCTTTATGAGAATGGCAAGGTCGAATTCTTTCGAGATAACATTGTCTTTGTACAACAACGATACTAGGTCACCGCGTCGTTTGTTTTGCCCTGACAATGTCATAAACGACGATAATGATTATGCGCAAGTGACGAGAGATGTTCTTTTTAAATATACACGTGATTCTATCAACTCAATTAATAACATAGAATCCCTCGCGTGTGATATTTATGATATTTCGACAGCAATGAATTATGATATTTAATAACATTTCATTTTTTATCCATGTAATTAATAATATGTAATTAATAATTATGTCGTGTGATAAGGAAAAGAGCAATAGGTTTAGGACACCCTGTATTATATGAGTAATTTAAATATACATATATATACATATATATATACATATATTTAAATATATTTATATATATGTATATATGTATATATATATATATATATATATATATATATATTTAAATTACTCATATAATACAGAGTATATATATATATATATATATATATATATATATATATATATACACACACACACACACACACACCCTGTATTATATGAGTAATTTATATATATATATATATATATATATATATATATATATATAAAATAGTGATATATGAATATTTTTTTCTAATTTGAAGTGAAATAACAAGATAAAGTTGATACATAAATCATGATTTAGTCAGTTTATATTTTTGTGTCTATTTTTTATTAATTGCATTATTTTTATTATAGACAAAATGTCACGCAGAAACAAAAAACGAAAAACCGAGGAGGAAGAGCAAAAAATAAACGATGGGGAGCAGGATAATTTTTTCTCTGACGAGATGAGGGAGGAGATGAAAACAATGTGGGAGGTAATTGAGATTATAATTTAAAATATATTTATCAGTGAATATCATTAAGTCGTATGAAAAAAGCTTTATCTTTCACGATATTCTTTTAGATACCACAAATTTTTCACTTTCTTCATCTTACAAGAGAATCTCTCAATATACCTCAATTCTCTATATACGAAATGGAGAGGATGCTGTTGATACCGAGAGCCTCGAAACAATTAGCAAACATCATGACGTGTTTGTTAAGGTTATTATATTAAATTAAATTCGAGATTTATACAATATGATATGTAAGAAGAGGAAAAAGAGATTATATTAAACAAACGATATTTTTTTAATTGTAGTTCCCCAATTACCAAAGCAAAGCTGCGCAAGGTGCCACCGATGCCATATGAATTTTGGACCAACATTCTTACACATAAGATGGCGAGCTGGTTCAAAGTTTATCATGCAAAACACAAAGATGCGACCAAAGTACGTATTTTCGTAAATCCCCGTTGTGGATCGATAATTTTTTCTCTATAGCTTTATATCCAGTATATTCATAGCATTTTGAAAACACATACATATATATAATATACATCACAGTGACCGGAGATGTGACAAAGATTTTTAGGTTCTAGAAACCATTGGCGTCGAACCAGAATTCTGGAAGGTCTTCCCTAATGCCTCGTTACTCGATGGGAAACACTTTGAAGATCTAAGTTTTAGGCAGAGAGTCTGGCTGCTGAAAACCGTCTGTGATACAATCATGGTAAGTCCGTGATAATCTTAAAAAAGAAAAATAAAAAATCTATTAAATTAAATACTCTTAATTTTTATAGCATACTAGAAAAACAGTTCAGGAAGATATAGCAAAACAACCATGGGAAGATCAGTTTGAAACACTTTTAGGAGTCGATCGCTATGGAACGAGATACATTTACTTTCCACAATTTATCCCAAACGATCTCAGAATTTACAGGCATTGTCTGAACAATAAAATTTTGTCGACTGTCAAGGTATCTTTCTGATGCGCTACTTTTGTTAAATTATTAAAATTTAAAATTTTTTTAACAAAATAATAAAATCACATTGTGCTGCGATTTTTTTTGTACAATTTTATCTACAATAGATAACAATATATAAATGTCCATTTATTTATTAAGAATTATTTTTATCACAATTATCACATTCTTCAAAATTTCGAAAGAAAGTTTATTTCTTTTATTTTAGATTGCAGCACCAATGTCCACAGTATAATGAATAGTACTTGGTTATTCACGCTATAGAACGCTATTAAGAATTTTATTTTTGGAAATCACGATATTCATTATAATGAAAACTCGTATCTCTCTCTAATGGAGAGATGTTATTAAATATAATATTTTATATAGGCTGTATGTGTATATTTATTATAAATATATCAATTTTATAAATTATTTTATGAATTGTATATGTTACAGCCTGTTAAAATAAAAGAAGAAACGGAAACGAGCAAGTTAATCGATACGAGATTGAATAGATATAAACAAAAAAAATTGCAGTCTCACAATAACTCAGCGTGTCGCAGATCAACTAGACACAGTAATATTAACAATAAGGATTTGAATGATTACAAGGACAACAACAATAGCATCGCGGATTCGTTTATCAGCGAGGATACGAATTTGAGTAATACGAGCACGTGTACTAATAATAATAACATAAGTTTGAATACCATAAGTAGAAAACGTTGTAGGAGTTTATCGAAAATGTCCGAGGAAAGTACTCTATCAAATGCAAAATCCAGTGGCTATGATACCAATGCTTCTAGTGATAAGTCTGTCGACAATGAATCGTCGTCGATGTTCAAAGGTTTTATCAACATTCAAAATGATAATTCCGGTATAGGGATAATTAATGAAATGTTAGATGACCTAAAGTCGGAAATTGATGAAGAAAGGAGAATGAATGAACATGGGAGCAATAGTAACGAATCACCGCAAGGAAATCTTATGAAAGCGTATAAAAATACAATAGATTCTTGCGAAACTTTAACCGTTGAAAGAGATGAGAATGAGAGATCGAGCGATAATTTGTCCAATAGCTCAAAAACGGACGATGAGAAACTGAACGACATAATTAGTGCCGAGAATTCTAAGTTACCTGAGAGTGTATATGCCAAAAGTGTTTCTGCCAGTGATAATGTAAGTGATATTTCAATATTGACGTCCAAATCGGATGACGAGAAGTTGAGTGAAACGAAGACCAGTGGTAGTAATGTTAGCAATATTTTTAATGATTCACTTTGCGCATCTCCTTCCATCGATAGTGTATCATTAAGTGAAGAAGTGACTAAATGTGACTTCCATTTAGACAAAAAAGTTTCATCAACAAAAATAAGATCGAATGATTCAATTGAAAGAAGAACTTTAAGAAACAGGATACGACTACGATCTCGAAATAAAGCAGGACAGTATACTAAAGAAAGCAAAATTAAAGTGGAAAAAGATGAAATAAAGAAAAAGATGAAATTGGAAGTGGATAATAAAATTGATGAAGTAGATGAAAAAAATTTCTCTGCAAGCGAGTTAGACTTACAAGAAGATGTCGAATATGATCTAGATGATTACACAAACAATTCCAATACTGGTTATAATTTAAGAAAATCTAAGGATCCAGAAACTGATGAATATAAGAAACATTTCGACAACATGTTATCTGATCTAAGTGTTTCTGAATTTCAATTAGTAGTCGACACTGTGGAAGACTTAAGGGATCTCATTAGCAGTTTTTCAAACAATAATTTAGAAAGCAATGATAAAGTAAGTTTGATATTTTCATTTATAATATTTTACGTCTTATTTGCTAAAGAACTGACATTTACAGATAGAAGAAGTAACTCCTCTGTGTGAAGTAACATTGGTAGTGAAATTAAACGAGTTATTAAATTTCTTGGAACCAATGGAGGCAGCTTTGAAAGACACAATGCGAAAAGCAAGGGCAAAACTTCAAAGGGAATGGTCTAATTTTAAGGAAGGGTATGTATAGTAACACAATTTTTATATCTTAATGCGCGAGATAATCGGACATCATTTTTCAAAATCTCATTATCACACATTAAAAAATTTTTAAAAACGTACAACAGAAGAATATTAGAAAATATTGTCTCACTACATCTCATTTAGTTTCATTAACACACATCTGCAATGTTTCTTCTCTTCAATTAATAATGTCGCATGTATCTTTTTCCTATATATAGCTTTCATATCTTTGTAATTTAATTTTCATTATCTGGAGAATTCTCAAACTACCTGACGCCTCTTGAAATTGCTACAATCCATGTGTGATACTATGTGGTCGCTGTCCGCACACTTCTTCCAGTAATATTAATGCCTTTGTCAAGCATATATGGCAGACAAGCTGATGGTGTGTTGTAGCAATGTGGAGGATCAGGACTCATCCAGTGAGGGTGGTCTCAGCTCTAATTGGTGGGTTCTTGGATCGCAGGGCAGGGATCCACTATCAGTTCCCGGAGATGCAACGTTACAAACGTTACCGCAACTTACCTTATCCTCACTTGGCACCCAAAACGGTCAACAACAGCGACAATCAACCGAAGGCGAGAACGCGACCAAGAATTCCGCCGAGCAAAATCGCCGCGAGAGTCGGGAAGCGAATGGCAACGAACAGCGGAAAGAAAACAGCGAGAAACAATCGGATGTCGAGACGTCACCGACAAGAAGAGACCAAATTGAGGAAGGAGGAGAAAAGCGGGAACACAAACAACACGGAGAAAACGAGAATCCGTCGAACGACAAAGGTAATTTTTTTGTCATTACATTTTCCGTCCGCAATCTTGCATGTCCTTTGTATCATATCGAGAATAACGCAATACATTCTTTGAATCCTCCTTTCAGATGCAGAACAACAGACGCGACGAGTACTACGAACGCGCGGAGTTTCCTCGTACACAGAACAATTATATTCAGACGACGAGAGCGAGGAGGACGAGTTGGAGGAATGGACCGATGTTGAGGCAGTCTACGCGGCTCCCGGCGCACAGGACGATACATCCGCTTCTCACACTGCTCCAAAAGTCCGACACGCTGACGGTCAGTCGGAAGAGGAGGACTCAGACCAAGATTGGATTCTACCGGGCTCTCGCAAAAGGAAAAATAAACGTTCATGTAAGTATCGAATCTTCGAAGAAATTTAGGCAGTCTTATATTATTTTTCCATTTATTTAAAGATTTATTTATAGATTTTTTATATAGAATTTGTTTCTTATGATGGAGTTTATCTATTACTATTAATTTATTATAAAAAGATTGTCATTATTATATATTAATAGAGAAATTTAAAAATATCTGATAATCTTTCATTCTCTTGTAATATTTATATTATTTCACAGCTGCCAATCGAAGATTAAAATCGTTCCAACATAAGGTGCAAAGCATTACGGAAAAAACCGGTGATTCGCGAGGTAAACATGGTGGATCTAATATCGATGTGTCCGCAACAAACAAAGAGGATCCTAAGCAAGCAGTGTCTTCCGCGAACACAGTCTGCAAACTCGAATCTGTCAAGAGTGTGCACTCGGAACTGGATATTAAAGATGAGGGTCCAATCTATGAATCCGGTTCAAATCATTATGAACAAAACAACTATGGACCCACGAATCCACAACAGAACTATTATTACGTGATGCAACAGAATCCTGGAATTGCCGCGGGAGGGAATGTCATGCCTCCGCTAGGAACTCCGATGATGCAACAGAGTGTGATTGTTCAGGGAATCGCGTCGCCGCAGGTTCAAAGCTACTATGTGCAACCAGGTGCGCAGACGAGTTACGTGATGCAGAATCCACAGACAAATTTTCTACCTGTCGCTCAACAGCAGCCCGTCTTTCCACAGCAAGGCCCACAGATGATACCGACTCAACCATATGTTAACAGCGTGAGTTACGTACCCTATATGGTAGCTACGACTACGCAGCCTCAGGAATATATGGTTGCATCAATAACAAATCAGCAAAATTCATCGAAACCGCAGAATAGATGCAATCAGAACAATAGATACACGACGACATCGCGACAGAACTCGCAACATCCTAACGGTATGGTGATAAGAGGTAATAATGTACCTGTCAGAGACACTCAAAGAGCCACTAGCTCAAAACCTAGAGGCAACGTTTCTCAACAACGTACATCCAAGTCACGACGAAAAGCACCACAAACATCCAGTACGGAGAACAGCGGCCAGAAGACCACGTCTCTGATCGTGCTTAGCGATAGCGATGATGAGATAGAGATGATCATCACCGAAAAAACTAGCACGGAGAAAGAGTCTAGATCGGTGCAAGCTCAAAGAAATGTTAATCAATCTAAGCAGAAACCTGTAATTACTTCGGACATCACTGTCGCATCGGCGAAAGGCGTCATCCCACCTCAGATCATTCAACGAATGAATCAAGGTGGTATATCCATTACACCGATAAAAAATACACCTCCGCCACCAACGACGAACGGCAATACGCAATTAGTGGTAGTCGTGAACGAGACCGGAAGCCACTACGCCCTTGCATTACCCAATGGCAGCAAGCTTATACTTACTCCAGAACAGGTAGCGCAAATTAGAGCTTCGAATGGAGGAAAACTGATCTTGTAAAACATGTGTAATAATATTATATATAGCAATTACTGATCAACCTGGACTACATATGTATCGTACATATTTTGGTCCTGTTTTCCGATTCAATCCGTAATTGAAGGTAAAATGTGATACACGTGTGAATCGATAGCTTTGCTTTTCAAGTACACTTTTCATATTAGGATTGCGAACCAGAGAGTATTCTGATTTGAATATTCTCCGAATATATTTATGCTGATTTATAAAGTAAATTTCTACAGATGAGATATTCTTTGTTACGTGATGTACAATTTTAATATTGTTTTTTAGTTTTATTCTCTCTCGCGCTGTGTATACAATACATATATATGTGTCGGGAAAATTCGTATTCAACTGTAATAATGCTATCTTACGATAAATAGTTGGTGGGAAAAATATTATATCTTTAGACATTAATTCTCAAAGTTTTACAAAAGGAACAGCGAATAAACTAATTATGCGCTATATTTCCTAGAAAAAATGACTCTGCAGCACGTAAATAATAATTGATTTTTACACGTAGAATAAACTCATCCAAATAGTAACAAGTTACTATTACACACATCGAATGTGAAGAATTAGCATTAGCTATTGTTCTTTGCACATTTAATATCATATTAAAAATTAATATTTTAAATTAAGATGTTAATTAGAGATTTTAATCCAGATATCTATATAGTCTTTTGTTTAATTTTTATGTTCAATTTATACATACATTTAAAATTATATACATATAGTGCTATATATATAATTAGTATAATTTGTTTAAATTGGAAAAATACTTTTTTTTTAAGTATCGTCCTAAATATACATATACATATATATTATTGTCACAATACACTATCGAATATTAGATATCATATTTCGTTTATTGATTGCAGTAAACAATGTACAATATAATGAATAATATATCTCTTTAAATATATTACTCTTTATAAGTTATAAACAAAACGCTTTTAACTGTGTACGAAAATAATGTGACTGCTTGGAAAAAAGCGTCTTCAAACTAAATCGCGAATAGGAACATTATTATTATTATTAAAATGATACAATTCCGATAATTTTGGCAACACCACAAGTATTTTAGCTATTTCTTCGTAACAAAACAAAACTCAAAAATTTCTAGAGCGCAATAGTTCTTTCTTTTACCGAGTTATAAATATTATTTTATACATATATTGCTTATAACTATAAATATGTTTATAATTATGAATAAATAATTTTCAATTTTGTTTTCTAATTTTGTTTTCTAATTTGAGTGACATTTTACATACAACTTTTTTTATTTTTATATAAAATAAATTTTATGATAAAAATAAAAAATCGCCCAAACTAGAAAAACAAAATTGAAAATAAATTATTTTATAAAAATTAAAGTATTTTCACAGAAAGAAACTCATAAATTTAACTATAATAAACTTCTTTAAACAACACAACATTAGGGCCGGATTTAAAGGTGGAGGCCCCTAACCATTTTTGAACCAAAATCAAATAGAAATTTTTACGTTGTTTAAATAATTTATTGCGAAATAACAAGGTCAAGCAATATACATAGACCTTGTAAGTGTTGTATACTATCCGATAGGAAATTTTACCCAAAAATTTATGTTGTGGAGGCCCTTGGGCTTCAGCCCCTGTTGCCCCCTCCCCCCCTAAATTCGGCCCTGCACAACATCCTCACACTAAATTGATGAGTCTATAAAAATAGATAAAAAAAGAGATTTTCAGTCTCAGTGTTGTAATATTCTCAAAAAATATTCTTGTATCGTGTCGTCAAAGTTACCAGTAATCTTCTTAAAATTGTTAAAATCGTTTAACACAAGAGTATCTCAGGAATAAGTGAGAACAAGAATATAAGCGCTCAGCAAGCGGGTCCGGCCCGATCAATTATATGAAATTAGGACGCAATTCTCGTTAATGGGATTAGGAACAAGGCATATTTTTGCATCCTCGACATATAAAATTGATAACGTAACAATGTTCCGACGCAAACATTTTCAATTGCTATATTCATTGACATAAATTTATTGTCGTCCTTGAAGTGGCGCGACCGCTCTCCTCTACACCTGATTCTTTCGCACGTACGGTAAATCTTTGTCGAAGGCCAAGAACTTGAACAGGCGTGTCCCGTTATAAGGCGTGTTGCTCCCCGGCGGATGAAGCCTCATCTAAAACAAAGGCCATTCATTAGATAATCATAACGATATGTATTAGCGGAAATAATTGATCCGGGATTGTAATTTACATTTTCCTTCGCACTCCATGTAGGTGATCAATTATTTATCTGCATCTTTAAGATCGTGGTACGTGCATTTTAAAGAGATGCAAATAAATAATTGATCACTTCTGAAGGTCTACGTACCACGTGTATTTTTGACTTTTGTTGCGTTCCTTGATATCATGACAGAAAAATGATGAAATAATGTAATGAATAATATCTATTTTGTAAATACTTTATTTATATTCATGTATTGGACGATGATATGGAACGATTAACAATTTTTTTGAAATTATGAAAAAAATTACATAACTTTGAGATCTTTCATTAACGCGCGATGTTTTGGTCATTCTTTTTCCTTTATAGATTATCAATTGTCACGATCAATTCCTTTACAATAATATTCATTCATGATTAATCATTTTTTCTTATATATTACAGAGTAAATGCTGGCAATATTTGATAATAGATTCACTAATATATAATTGAATTAAATTCAAATGTTTAAAAACAAACTATATTCTCTAAAACTCCATCGAAGGGTTAATGATCAATCACCCAGCTTGTATATTATGCGGTTAGTTTTATTAATAATGTTATAAAAATTAATTTCCCCTTAGAAAGGAAGCTTGAAAAACGCAGAGCCTCGACTTTAATATTCATTATTATCATACTTCATGTTAAAAATAAGTTTGTAGAAAAATTTATAAAGAGTATTTTTGCTATTTTTACGATATATTTCGCTCGTGTTAATTATTTCTTTATTATCCACTTCTTCATCATGAGTATTTTATACGCTAGTAATTTGGTACCGCTCGTTAAGAGCATATGTATAATGTATAACAAATATGTAATAAGAATAATACATAATTATTACTATATAATATGAAGAAATAGATAATCGATTTACGAATAACCACGAGTTATCTACGTCGTCGTGCAGTATTATTTTATATTGCAAGTATTATCTATACAAATTGCGAGCTTCTTTCTCTCGACGATACAGCAGCCCCGAGCATTAGTATGGTGTGGCTTTGATTTGATTTGGGTTTTATGATTTGCGTGCGCCGTTTTATGATTTGCGTGGATCGCGGCCGTGCAGCATCTCATTCCCGTTTTTCTATTTCTCGATGTATTCGTTGTCAATGGCTTTTGCATCCCCGTCCGGATTACTGAATCGTTTCTGTAATGAGAAAAATCCGACACCAATCTGTTACACGCGACATTTATTACGATGATGGCATGGATCGAGCAAATTATTTTTTTTCTTAACTAACAATAAGTAAGATTAATTCTCATTAATACGTAATTAATTTTAATCCGCATGCAAGCTTTTATAGCGTTTTACTCTATCCATATTAAAGCGATTAATTAAAAATTAAATTAAAAAATTAATGAAAAACTGGACAATTTGTAAATTTTTATCGGGGGAGGAAACACTATCTTCTTTAACATATCTTGTGTAAACTGATTCGAATAATCTTTCTACATTATCTCACTCTAATATTTGCATTGCTAGTTTCTTTATAAATTGTATAAATGATGCATCTTTGCGTATAGTGGTTTGCGGGAAAATAAATTGATTCACTCACCATAATTCTGTACTTTTCCTTGCACGCGTACTCGGTTTCGTCCACGTCGTTATAACAGTCACTCTTGTAATCCTCCGGTATCGGGCGACCCTCGAATTGGCAAAGCCTAGAGAGCGGTCTGGCCTTGACCAGCATCTTCTCGAAACCGATCGGCTTGTGTTGCGGACAGTAAAACACATCCGGAGTATTTTTGTCGAAGACGATGCTCTTGCGCATTATGTCGCCGCATTGTACTGCGATGAGAAGTGCCTAAATGTATGAATAAATATAAGTAAAAATTCTTTTTATAAAATTTTAATATCGCACGTGATTGACAGGATATGTTTTTGATGTCTGATTTGGAAAATTATGACATTTAAAAGAGTTATAAATTTAAAAAACATTGTAGCAAACAGTGCAGAGCATTACATTTACTAAAAATTACATTTACTGCTGATTGATCTATATATTTAATGCAAAATTACCTAATGAAAAGAGAAAGATTGTTTCAATTTTATGCTAGCCAGTTTCTCGCGCTATTTCGAGAATTAGCAAGCGTTATTTATACGTAATTTTGATTAATTAACCGCGCTATTTTCTATCCAACGTCATAAATCATCTCAGCTTTCTGCACAGAAAATTCCCACGTTAATGACGTGTGTGTGTATGCGGAGAAAACGATCGGCTTCCGGGAGCACGAAGCATAAGAAAAATGCATTCAGGAGTGCATGTGTCCCGCAACGAATGAAAGTCCGGCCACTTACTGCGAATACGACGAGCAGACTGCAGACATAAATGTTCCCTGTAAAAAAACGAAGTTAAAAGGTGAGTCAACATGGAAAAATCAGTTACGCAACATTGTGCACCAATAAAAAAAATAGAGAAAGGATCCGGAATAATATCCGGCAACGATCGGAGCTTGCGCAAGTAAAACCTTGTGATTCTATTATTAAAGACAAGAATATGTATATTGTATGTATATTTTGAATATATATAAGAACATAAAAGACGTATAAGAACATATAAAAAAACATAATATTGAGAAGTATACAATTTCTAGAGCTTTTATTTTCTTGTATCTATTAAATTATATTCCTAAATTATTCATATTTTTTTTATTAGCGAATTATTTAAATAATTAAATGAGAATTTTTAAATATAATTTCTTAATTATTTAAGCAGATTATCTCTGAAACATGCTCTTACATCTTTTCGCGAAAAAAAACTTCTCATTTACAATCACCTCCTTAATTGAGATCTAGATTTAGATAATTTCTCTTCTAGTCGCATATATGTAATTGCGATTACGAGTCTCGATAAAAGTGATGTACACTTTTTTTCTCGCAAGCCAATTAATATATACGCGCGTTTCCACACATTTTTCAATTCTAGGTCAGTGTTTATCGTCGCAAGCATATCTTCTCGCATCGTGCATTTGCACGCGTATTTTTTTTTCACGGCCAACGGCCAGAGTCAGCTCCGAAACGTCACGAAAGCGTTTCTCTTATTTCACGCTGACCCAAAATTAATCGAAGCGTCTCGACTTTTCGATATGATCGCGATTCTACGAGACTTTCCCCGTTATTTACGCAATAGCATACATGTACATATGTAGCGTGTTCTATTCAGTTGCAGTTGATTAAATTGGAATAAATTTGCGTCATATATCGCCGAACATATGAAATATAAATCTATCTACGGGTCCGAAAAAATACAGACTCGTTATTCTCCTAATAAACTTAAATAAAAAAAGAAATAGTTTATTTCAAGGAGCATTTATTCAAAGAAGAAATATCGCGCGTCGTTGTTGATAATTGAAGTATATGATTGCATAATGTTGCAACCTTATACCGGGATGCATTCGAACGTGACATTTTCACTGCGAGAGATTTATCCGTGATATTTCACGCAGCATCCACAGATAAGATAGACTGTTTGTAATAGTTGAATAATTTAAATTTAATTTAGCCAAAACTTGTTTTATGTATATTCTCATTATGATGTACATTTACATATATTCTCATTATCTTTTTCCTTATTCTTATTTTCTTTTCTTCATTTTTTTAATATTTTAAAATGTTCTAGGCTTGATCTGATTTTGCAAAAGTCTTCGTTAAGATAATTTTCGTTGCTCGACATGCATATTTTTTAAGTTATCCATAAAAAATCTCTAGTTTATCATATTTCTTCTTGTCTATGGAATTTTTCACATGGTTAGAAAATAATGAATAAAGATAAATATAAGATAAAGATGAACGTCAGGAAATGAACAAGCATCTAACTACATTATTTAGTATAAAGTACAATATAAAATATAAATATATATATATATATATTAAATATAATATTATATATATAATTCAAAGGATAAATGTTTATATATATATATATATAAACACTTATCCTTTGAATAATTTTAGTTTTTTAACAGCCTAATATCCAGAAGAGAAAATCGTTAACATCGCTCGAGATAATTTCTTTTTGATATTTACAATATATCGAAAAATTTATTAAACAAATATCCAAAAAATCTGTAATCAGATGTTTGAAAGATCATTAGAATTTTTTCTTCGGCTTCTTTACATATTTTAGATGTGTCTAATATCCGAGAATCATTGTAAAATTGTTCGAGTGTAAGGTTCGAATATAACGTGCTTAAATTTACATAATGATGATACACATAGTAAATACGCGATTCGAGGGAGGATCTAAGATCGCAACAGGCGAGCAAAAAATCTCAGCACGGCGCGTCGCAATGTCCTGTTATTCGATATTCAATTAGCTTTCGTCAGGTGAGGGATTGCGTAGGTGTCGAAAAGAAGCCAGCTGAGTCAGCCAGATCTCGTTCGACTTACCCATGCTGTTCTTCGGCAGCGGACGTTCGTTCCCACCTGTTGATCCTCACGACTCAGCGTCTTCTCGTCGACTGAATCGCCGCGTCCTCCCCGCTCTTGGCTCGGGGACCGTTTGTTAAGCAGCACGATATGGACCCACATCCGGGGCTTGTATATAAAAAGGAGGGAGCCCTGATAAAACGGATTTAATTATTAATATGAAATTATTAATATGTATTAATAATTAATAAGTAAAAAATATAAATATTTAATGTATTTTAATTAAGCTTAGAATACATAATTGCAATATAATCAAATTTAAAGTTTAAAATACTTATTTTTATTATTAAACGTATATTTATTGACATACAAAATAACGCTCGAATAAAGTTTGATTTTAGTTTCAATAAGATCATCATTAGAATTTAATTAAGATGTACATATTATTCTGATTATTTTTTATCTTATGAAATAAAAATATATGAATGTGGTGATTATATATCATATTGCGCTTAGGGTCTTAAAATACCTTAATCCGTCGCTGAGTATAGAGTATTTCAAATATGAGAATCGTCGACAAGAAATTGCGCGTTTCATAAGCAACTGACAATGTCTTTCCTTTTATAGATGTAGGATGAATCGCCAAGCGTCATCTTCGCGAATATTCAAGTCGATGAAATAATTGAAGAGTTAAATAGATGAAGGCGGTATATATTGCAGAAACCGATCTGCAAATGTACTGTATGCATACATTTAATGGCTTTTTCGAATAAAATTGCAATTACACATATAATATTCATAAATACATAGATTCACAAAACTCAAGATATTCAATTACTTGCTACTCAAACATGGCATAATGTTTAGATGTCAATGAATTTTCGGTAAATCGAGGATGGGAAAAAGGTAGGTGGTATGTGGGCAGAGAGCTTCATCTTTTCCTTATTCAGCGGTAACGTCATCGTTATTTTTGGCACTTTGACAAGATAGCGAAAATTAAAAACTATTATTCTGAAAAAATTAATGATACACATTTTTTTACTAAATATTACATATACATGCACATACATAAATATTTAGTTTCATAAAAAAATAGATTCAATTAAATTGAACAAAGAAATATATCTCTAAAAGTTTGCATAATTCAAAAAGTAAAGTTATAATGTGTGTGTAAATATCAAGATGACTGCCAGCAGTTTTTTATATATCACCCTGTAATAACATTTATAATTTTGTTAAATTTTATTATATATGTATATATTTAAAAAACGCAATTAAATATAAAAATTTATATATACTCACAATTTCATCAAAATCAACATTGCATGCATTAAGTATAGAAATCGTATTGTCCGATTTATCATTATTATCTTTTGTAATATCTCTTTCATCTGTTTTGACCGATTGCATGAACACATCACCGTTATCAGATTGTTCATTATCTTTTTCTTTCGATTTTCTGCGCCTAAAAGAACGTATATCAAAACAATAATTTAGTTTGAATTCGCATTGAATTCCAAGTAAAAGGTTCTAATTTTGGTTGAAAATTCTCACTTCCTAGTATTAGGAGACTGCTTCTTCTCTAAGGAAAACAAATTTTTTATCCTTTCTGTAACTGGTTTGCATTTTTCTTTCATAAACTCGGGTTGCTCTAAAAGATTTTTCACATCGTCGGCAATAGGTGGCAACGGTTTGTCTGGCTTAAGCGCGCGAGCTGCTAACATATCCCACATATGTTGCGTTCCGGGGTCCGGCATATATCCCGGTAAATACTTTTCATTGATATCAATTGCATCATCATCAACACTGTGAAAAATTCAATAAAATATATTAATTGTATTACTTTGTGATTAATATATACATTGAATATATATTTATTACACTTACGCCTCAGGCAATTCTAGAGATGTTAACAAGTCATCAATAGCATCATTTTGCTCCTTTGACAACTGCTTCATCACGAATTTTAAGGGTCTCTGCGCTATCGCACCGTAATCTCGCTCGAATGGCAAGCCGATTTCAATAAGACACTGTTTCAAATATGTCATTTACTTGATATAGATGCAATATAATAATAATAATAAAAAATAAGAAAGTAATAAAGAATCTCATCCAATAATAAAAACCCAAAATAAAAATAACAAAAAATAAGAAAATAATAAAGAATCTCACCCAAGGTTCATTGGGTACATCAATACTTGGAAATAGTGCGACCATGTTAGCTTCAGTATTTGCTCTGTAAACCTTCTCTACTATAGCAACTACATTCTTGTCAACCATGGCTTGTACCAAACTATAAAATGGTGCACTTACTGACTGTAAGGAAATTTTTATATTTTTATTAAATCATTGATGTCTTATAGCTACATAAAGTAATTTTGCTATTATACCTCATTAGCTGGTACAATAACGTACGTGCCATCCGACAACCAGTATTCCATAGGAATGTTTTCTTTTGCAGTGAAACCATGTATTTTATAACATTTTTCGTTAGTTTTAGGAGTCATTGTTTTCTCAGTTTCATCTACAATTGGCATATTTCATGAATAATTTAAATAGTTAAAAAATTTATATTAGTAAGACAAATTAGGCTATAAATTAAAACATAAATTACCTGAAACTGGAATAGATTTGCCACCATACACATAACCACGGATAATATCTTCTTCTGTGTGAATAGTCCTATTATTATCCGTCCATTGTGCAATATTCTTAATTGGCACTTCTTGCTCTGGCATATCGGGTGTACTCGTTTTACCCATCAATATCATTTTTGGTAATTTCACTTCTGTTGGGATCTTGTAACATAAACAATACATTATATATATAATATAGTTATATATATTAGTTATTTTATATATATAAATATGATTTTACTTTAGAAATTGCAGCAATCGGTATATGAAAGTTGCCCAATTCCATTTGACAATACCATGGCATCGGTTTAGTTGACGGTCGTTTATAAAAACGTACATCTGACATAGCACGCTCAAAAGTGAGATATTGACCACCAATCTATGAAATATATATTATTTATTATATTATGTATTATTAATCTTATACAAGATTAATTTATGTTCATATATTTGTTTTACCTCTCGCAAAACACTCATAAGTAAACCTTCACTGGCTGTTTGAGAATCTTTATCTATATTATCTAGATCTCTTTCTCCACTGCAATATATCATATCAACATTTTTATTTTAATATATAATTTTAATATATAATTATTGTTAATAATTGTCAACCATAAATGAAGAAAATTAATTCATTACACATACATTGCTATGAGTGAAATTTCCTCTGAACTTAATGTCTTTGCAATATCATCCATTTGGAATTGACTTACAACATCCTCTTCCTCATTGAAATCAGACAACAAGATTATTTTCCTTTCAGATTTGTCTCTGAAATAAAAAAAAAATAATAAATTTGATACATGTTTAAAATCAATCAATATTTTATATTGTTAGATATACTTACACACATTCATGATTGATATACTCAATTGCAGCATAAATTGCTTCCATCCAAGAATAATTCTGATTGGTAGTTTGTAATTTCTCAATGCTTTCTATCAAATTCCAATTTCCAACTTGCACACGACACAATTCTTGAATGTTCTCTAATTCTGTAATACTGTTGCTTTTACTATTATCACATCCCATTAATATTACTCCTATTTCATCTTTTGGACATAGAAATATCTAAACAGGATTATATTTTTATTATATTAAATATAATCAGATCAAAATAAATACAGATACAAGGAAATAAAAATACAACTATTATTAATAGTATGATGTAAAGAAATGTACCTTCCTTTGGATAATGTGTTTTAAAATAAACTTTGCTTTATCTAGCAACATTGAATTACTTTGAGTACCATGACGGACAATCCCAATCTTTACAAGAAAAATTATACTTTCCTATATAACAAAAATATAAAGATTTAAATGTCATATAATAAAATATTATTTTATAAAATTGTCATATAATAAAATATTATTTTATAAAATTGATTCAGCATAAATAAATAAATAAATATATGTATATATATAATGGTATTTATTTATATTTTTTTATTTGGTTAAGTATTGTGTGTGATGTTTTTAAATATATATGTATATATACCTTTAATTTCTTCGGCGGCATATTTTTTTCTGAATATTATTTTAAATTCACACACTTGCTTCCCCTTGATTCGTAATAGAAGGCTTCTTTTTGATAATAAAAATAATTGTTTTTTATCTATAATAAAAAAAGATAACGGGAATTCATAGACGTTAAATGCTCGACAGCGCCTCTGTATTCAATTTAGAACTACATGGCCACGAATTTTTCGATTCTAAAATCGCTGGTAAAATCTTCGTTTGGTGTGTGTCCGTGCTACATTAATAATTGTTGATCATAAATCATGAATCTGAGAATTTTTATGCGACATATATATTCATTCATATACAATAAAATAAATTTTTTTTAATGCAATGCAGAAGTTAAAAAAAATGCAATAAATTGTTTTTTCTCTTTTTATTATTCTGACAAAAATGACAAACGTATCAAATTATTTCCGGAGACAAAAATATCAATGTATTAAATTATTTCCGGAAATCGCTATTTACCACATTTTGTACAATACATTACAATTCAGTATATCGATAATTAAACTAATTGGGAGCAAAAAATGTGGAACGCTTCACGATTTTGCGTGTCATCCTTGCGCAGGGGCCATGCTAATCTTCTCTGTATCGTTCCAATTTTAGTATATGTACTGCCGAAGCAAGTACAACTCCACCTTTTTTGAAGGATTCTTATAAACTGATGTATTATCGTAAGTGTACTTGCGAGAAACTAAATGACAATTGACTCGCCGCCTAGTGGTAAAAATATATATTATATTAGAAAAAGTGAGAGAGAGAGAGAGAGAGAGAAAGAGTTGAATGATTTCTATACGTATTGGCGCGTTTCAATGAGAATTTAAATATATATTTTTGTTGCACTATTAAAAAAAATTATTAAGAAAAATGTACAAATTAATTTTAAGATGACATGTATTTATGTATTTTAATTTAATTAAGATATACGCGCGATCAATGTCCTGACATTTAATATAACCTAAATTTCTTTTTGATAAAAGCCATACCATGTTAATGCTATGATTATGGCGTAATTTAATTGACCAATCAGAATAGAGATCAAGCAAAGAGTGAACATTTCTTTGTGTTTGATTGGTCAATTCAATGCTATCTCACGAGAGGATTTCTGTATACTTGTGAATTTACTTTCAAATCTTTATGTGTGTACAGTGTGTAAAGCATCGTGACACGTGTCTTCTGATCATTTTTGAATAAGATATAAAAATGATTTTTCTAAATGCACAATGTATTCTGTTAATAAACTTGAGTTTGCTCTCGATCCATACTAGTGTAGGAGAAAATAAATATTCTGTCGAGGCAAATAAACCTAAAGATGTAGACCCTTCGCAGTTTCCAATTTCTCTTAGAGACTTGGATAAACCATTTAGGATGGCAAAGTTAAATATACTTTGGGCTAAAGCAAAGAATGTAAATTGAAAATTATAAATAAGATAGACTTAAATACAAACAATACAAATGTATATATACAAATTAAAAAAAAGGAATTTGTGTGTATATATATATACAAATTTATTTTTTTTTATTTTAGCGCCTGACAGATAATAAACTGCAGTCAATCTTTAGTGACTTGAAGATTCATGATAAAGAAGAAATCGCATACAAGCATTTCAAATCTGATGGAAAAGATCTTGAAGGCGAGGAAGAAGCACGCTTAAGAAAAAAACTCCTTGGTAATTTTGTATTTTTTGATTTTTATTTCCTTTGTCTTTCAAAAAACTTTAATTTCATATAATCTTATCTTATTATAGGAATAATGAGCACATATGATTTACTGGAACATTTTGCTGAAACAGAAGATCCAAAATTACTCAAGATACACAAAGCGCTGAATGATGGTAGTAATTATGTTGCCAAGGATATATTTAAGGATATAAGATTAAACAAATTGTGGGCTAAAGCTGAAATGGCTGGTTTTACTGGTATGCATGTTTTATATAAAATAAAAAAATAATTATGTTTAAATTAGTTGTTAAAAAAATAATTATGGTTAAATATATACGTATATTTTTTATATCTTAGATGAAGAGCTTCAAACTTTAAAACAAGAATTCCAACATTATCAAGAAAAAGTAGATGAATACATGAGTTTATTGAAAGAACAATCTGGAGATTCAGAAAAATTTGAAAGTTAGTCTTTTCATACAGATACATTATATATATATATATATATATATATATATATATATATATATTCTATTTTTATACTTTATATATTTATGTAACATTTCTAGATATGTTAAATCTTAAATCAAAAGAGTCGAATCTGATCTTTTGGGAACCAGAAGCGGAACTGCCTACAAATCTAGTAGATAAGAAATTAAGTCATATGGAGAAGACAAATTTACTTCGGTACATATGTTGTAATATTATATGTAAGAATATATTGATTTGTGCTAACTTTTATTATTATTTCTACTTTAGAGTAAAACATTTGGAATTGAAAAATAAATTTGAGCACTTAGACAGACTTACTGCAAAAGGACCAAACCATAGAGACTTTATAGAACCTAAAGTACAAGGGTTGTGGAAAATTGCACTGGAAGCAAAATTCTCTCCCGAAGAATTAGCATCTTTGAAGGTATAATAATAATAACAGCAATAATTATAATCTACTTTCATATATGTTTTCTGTTATTTCATACAGTAGCAGCAATAATTAATTCAGTACTAAATAGTAATCATTACATAATAATTTTTCTATTTTTATTAAAGAACTATTAGCAATTTTTTACTTGCAAGTTAAATTGTAAATAAATTTGATAAACATGTTAATCATGTCAATAAGTGCATTAATATTAATATGTATATGTTGATTGTACAGGAGGAACTTTTACACTATGAATCAAGGTTGCTTAAACTGCGACATCTGCATGCTGAAGAAGCCTTGAAAGCAGCACAAAATGAGCAAGTCTATGGTTTAGATAATTCAACAACTGAACAACACATCAAGAAACATATTAGAACAGTACAGAAACTTCATATAGATCTAGAAAACAAAATCCTGCAGAAGCATACAGAATTATAAGAAGGTAAGAAGATAAACATTTATCAAGATATCAAAAAATGTAATTTGTCTAAAACATATAAATAGCTAAAAAAATATTATTATAAAATAAATTAAGAAATAATTATTTGTAAAAATATTGATATTCAAATGAATTGTTTATATTCTTAATACTAATTCTTATGAAATAATATTTTTTTAAGTAAAAATTAATAAATTTAAAATATTAAGATATTACAAATTATTTGTAAAATATAAATTAAATCTTTTTACAAATTATGTGAATAAAAAATATTATAGGGAACTGTTTTATTTTTACCTAAGTTAAATACAGTTAATAACAGATGGAAGAATTATGAATGTGTTACTTAAATATTTATGGTATTTTAATTATAATTCAATTACTAGTATTATAACTATAATCGAGTGGCGAGTTTATTAATAACGATCTTCTTTTTCTCTCTTGATCTCCCTTGATCCTTTGATCCGACTAGTTTTTCACACTCGCACCAAGGTGTACTTGATTTATCACATAACAGAGAGATATTGATCACTGTTAAAGGAATATCAGATATAGTCATTTTAATTGTATCCAATATTTTATACGAGACATTGTTCAAGCCAGTTTGTCGATCTCGTTTTCTAGTCACTTCCCGTTGATTGTAACATTTTGTTGTATCTCTTTTTCTATGATTTCTGTCATGTATATGCCTGTAATATATATTGTATATGTAATAATTGGCAGACTCTTATCACAAATTTTGTAATTGTTTGTTTTGTTTTATTTTAATTATGTAATTGTTTTTTTGTTATATATTATTTTGTTACACATAGTGTGTAATAATATTCTTCCAATGGAACAACTCACTTAAAGGTATCATGTATTCCTGTTGATATATTTTGTGGACGACTGGGACTTAGGCCAGCTTCTTTCAGTCTGAGATAAAATTCATCATCTTCCAGCCCCCATCCCCAATATTTGTTGGACATACCATTTACTTGTATGAAATGCTCTCTACAAAAGCACATATATTTAACAAATTTAGTATTTAATATAGTAGTTAACATATTATGAACATCAAGATTTAAAGCATACCTTTTAATGAGTAGTATACCACCAATAAAGGCATTATAGTGATATCGGGGATGTAAGTCTGGTGAAGATATGTGATGTGGCCCTGCACTTGGATATGCATACGATAACTGATCGTTCATAGGCAATAGATCTACATCATGCATTGCAATGTAATCAAATGCTTTTTCTGTTTCAAAAAAGCCTACATTTATAAGAGATGCTCGATTAAATCTGTATCTATCCATCTGATTTAATACAAATATATGATAATCTATATTTTGCTTGTTCAAAAATTTCTGCATATGTGGTACAAACATTAGCAGTTCTTCAAAACGATCTCTAAATGGCACTAATATAGCTAATTTGTGTTCAGATTCTTTTTTATGAACATTAATCTCATCAGTCAGTTGCTTGAGATGTTGACCTGATTGTACATTTGTGTCACATTTGCATTCATCTGGAATAATAAAATCTTATATTAATTCTTGATACTTAGAAAAAAAATACTACTTTTGGATTATGTTTTCAATATACCAGTGACTTACCAATACTGATGGGAGATATACTAATTATACACGATGTCACAAAGGTGATCAAGATACAAGCAAAGATATATTTAAACCTTACACTTTTCCAAATATTATTCATGTTGAATAATTTTTAGCTTATTTTATGAAAGAAAATTTCATAAAATGTGGAATATATGAGCATTAATTAATAGAAAAAAATGTTTTGTTCTAATTTTTAATTATTTTTTTAATAGCATCTTGGAAATAGCATCTTTGGAAAAAGCTATTTGTTCAAGTTTCAAAGAAAGACTTTTACTTATTCTTTTTTATTATTAAAATTATATTAGAGCATTCAATCACACTCTAAGTAGTGAAAACAAGAAGAAATAAGCAAAGATAATGATCCACAGCTCAATTCTTAAATTATACTCTTGTAATTGTTGATTAATAGTGCAAATTTGAGGATGAATATTTCAACATGAAATTATTGCAAGATACGAAGAATATTTTGTGTGAAAAACGCATCTTTCTGAAGATGTATCAAGAAACGTCTATTCTGGTAATCGCTCTCGCATCGCGTGTCTTTCTTCTCCGCGTTCAAAGTTTACACACGACGAATTATTTATTTAGTAGAGCTGTCTCGGAAATAGATTCGTGCAAAAATGTACGGATCTCCCGTAAACTCGTGAACATTATGTTTGCCTTGTGCGTGCAACTCCTGTGCATTATCGTATCTTATCAACGCTCGCCAAAGCGGGCGACTTATGTCATCGCGCGGAGACAAGATCTGTCACCGTAATTTGACAGTTCGCGGATTCTCGAGTTACCTGGGTCACCTTGCACCGATTTGCACACTCGTGCACATTTCACAGATATGTTCTAAAATTTTACGACGATAGGTCAATAGAAAGAGAGAGAGAGGTCTGTTCGTTTTGCTTGCACTCTCCTTCTCGAATGCGCACGCGCAAAAAACTGGCCTCGCCTAATGATAATCCAGCGAGCATGCGCACTGATCCTTTGAGTCTGGCGGAAATAATGACGTCAGGTACTCGAGGCGTAAGCGAGATGCCAATGGGGTGATACATCGTCGGAAACTTGGACTCCGAGTTGGATCTCGTTCACTGTTCCTTTAATGCTGCCAGTTTTGCACGAAATACGTTTTGCGTTACGTTTCACGCGAGCCTGTTGCTTTTGACGGCGAGAAAAAATCGCGCCGGCCGAAAATACTATCCATTTTGATGCAGGTAAGACCGGGTCCGTTCTCCCCCAATTTGTGCCCCCCTCCCTGTCCTCCCTCGTTCTTGTGCGTTACCTTCGTCGCTCGTATGTTATCGCGTGTGCGAAAGATGTGCGACAACTATTCGACCTGTGAAATAAAACAGGGAATTTCAAATTTAATCGCTGTCGGAAGTTTTGGGATTCACGAGTCGTCCGAATAAAACGATCGGAGTATGATACCGTTATCAGTCCGTTATCACGAATATTCTCATCGTACGTTCTAGTCGATTAGGAGGAGATACGGTCGACGATATTTACATTTGACACGCTAGACGAATGACATAAATTGACTTGAATCGGGTAATTTCGAAACCTGGATTGTCAGTTATTCGTCACAATCGATAAATTCCGCCTTTTTCTATTTTTATACACTCTTTCGGATACTTCCAAAAAGTGAGGAGGCAAAAAAGAAACATGGGTGCCGTGTGTAAAGAATAGAAATTATTATCTGAAAAGTGTCTAATATTTGTTTCAATTGAATGATTTCATATCTATGATTAATTAATGAAAAGCTGAATATATATTAGTCTCTAAATGTGTAATATCTGTTTATAGAACAAAATTAAATGGAAACAATTGCATCTTGAAATTATGAAATTTATGATGGACAATTGTAATAAAAGGAAAACAATTTATAAAAATGCATAAGAAAGTTATTTAATTTTTTTATGTACAGAATAAAGTATTGTCTATTATATATGACTATTATTTTGTTCACAGAAGCCAATTTTAAAGAAAAGCTTTATAAGTATTAATTTCAGGAATATTTTATATCTAGTAGTATATGATTTAATACTGAATATTTTCAAGAACCTTAAGATAATCTAGATACAAAAATAACAAAATAGAAATAATAATACAAAATTTTTGTGTAATTATAGAATAAATATTGATATCATAAACATGTCTGATCACTTTGGGCCAATTACTTTGAAATGGGATCCTAAAAACTTGGAGATACGGACTATGTCTGTAGAAAAAACATTAGAGCCGCTGGTGCTTCAAGTTACTACATTAGTAAACACAAAAGGTCCCAGCAAGAAAAAAAAAGGAAAATCAAAGAGGGCCAGCGCGCTTGTCGGAACTGTAGAAAAAGCAACTACTAATTTTATCGAAAAAGGTGAAAAGATTGCCTATGAAAATCCAGACATTACAGCAGAAATGTTAAGCGCTGTAGAAGAAGTGAGGAAAACAGGTGCAGCGATGAGCATTGCTGCTAGGTATATATATAACAGTTTATTTATTTATATTTATAAATGTTAATACTTTTTTCTATTGTTATATTATACATTCATTTAACATGAAAATCATTTATACAGGGAATTTTCCGAGGATCCATGTTCGTCATTGAAACGCGGCAACATGGTACGTGCCGCAAGGAACTTATTGTCAGCAGTGACCCGTTTGCTTATTTTAGCAGACATGGTGGATGTTCACTTGCTCTTAAAATCGTTATACGTCGTGGAGGATGATCTGAAAAAGTTGAAGAACGCTTCCTCGCAAGGCGAATTAATCCAGAATATCAAAGAATTTGGCAGAAACGCCGCCGAGTTGATCCACCAGGCGGCCAAGCGTCAGCACGAGTTGAAGGATCCACAACTCAGAGACGATTTGGCAGCTGCTCGAGCCGTCTTGAAGAAACATTCTACCATGCTGCTTACTGCATCGAAGGTATACGTGCAGCATCCCGACCTGGCGGCGGCCAAGGCGAATCGCGATTATGTGCTAAAGCAAGTGTGCGAAGCCGTAAATACGATAAACGACGTTGCTCAAGGAAAAACTCCGCCCGACAGTCAGCATCCTTACGAAGGTCCGGGCGAATTGGCTGCTGCGTTGGATGACTTTGACGAGAGGATGGTGATGTCTCCGCTTGCGTACAATGAGGTTCGTACGCGGCCGAGCCTCGAGGAAAGATTGGAAAGTATTATCAGTGGAGCTGCATTGATGGCAGATTCATCGTGCACCAGAGATGAACGTAGAGAGCGCATCGTCGCTGAATGTAATGCGGTCAGACAGGCACTTCAGGATCTCCTGAGTGAATACATGAACAATGTAAGTAGAGATTATATTTATATAAAAGAAATTATGATTATATAAAAAGAAAAAAAGAAATGTACGAATAATAATATAACATTAACATAATGTCAAAGAAATGTAAAAGGAGTCTAAAGATATTTATAATTAAGTAAACACGAATAGATATAAATGTATCAACTATTACATATTACATCTCTTAATTAAAATAAAAGAATAATTGACATGCTAAATTTAATTATAAACTCTAGTATAAATTTTTGCTATTTATTATTATTTTTTTTAAATTTTGATTTCTTAAATAAAACACTTGATTAATGCATTGATTAATGCAATAATGATAATTAGTTCATAAAAATAATAAGATGCATTGATTTTTCATTTTTTTCGAGTATGAATAAACAATTACATTTTATAAATGACAGTTTATTTAAAAAAATGAAGCATTTATTTAATAAGAATAAAATTTAGAACTTTCAGCATCCAATGTTACAAATATATGACAATTTATTCTAGGATTTTTAATTTATTTTAAGAATTTTATATATTGTTTCACATTATAAAATTTCACACGATATAGTCAATTATGTATAAAATGTGTTATTTTTTATAATTATTGAAACAATATTCTATTGATTTGTTTTTGTTGGTGATGGCCAGTTACAGCGCGCTCGGGGTGGGAAACGGGTAAATATGCGAGAAGTAATCTTACATTTTCTTTGTATATATATTTTCGTTGCATATTTATTAAATAATTAAATACTTTTCCTATGGGTTTTTTAATATGCATATACATGTTATCTTAGATTTCTTACACACTACCAATGCATATTTCTTATTCACAGTAACCAGCACTAATCATTAGATTAGCTGTGTGCTCACTATCTGTTTTAATAATTAATTTTCTAATTTTTTCTACATTTTTATATATAAATATTAAATGACTAATATATATTACTTGACAGTTATATAAAATGAAAATTTAAATGCAATATAAAATGCAGTGAGTAAAACGATAAATTAGCATAATTGTAGAGAATTCGAGTATACTTTATACATTTATAATTATACACATAATTGATAATAAATACATACACACACATATTATGTTTAGATTAACAGGCCACTTTCCATGTATAGAAATTTGAATTAATTTTGGGATCAATCTTTCCTCCACAAAAATTTCGAAGAAACTCATTATTTGTTCCAAACTTTCAATCTTGAATATTTTGAAATTAAATAATAAAGTTTTATTCTATTTATATCTAAACAAAAATAACAATTTATGTTTTAATCTCGCTTATAATTAAAAAAATATCAGTTTCTTGATTTTTTTGTTGAAGATTGATTTTAAGTTTACCAAAGAGAATGCATAAATAAAAAGTGGTTTGGCACATATCTCCGAGATACTTTGTATATATTTAACTTGTAAATAACGCTTATCCTGCAAATATGCTGTTAAAAATCATGATCAATCATCATTATTTAATATTTTAAAAGACATTTCACATATTCTATACGTATATTAATATGTAACATATTATTTTAATAATTTTACTTATATATTCCTTTCTATATATTACTTTTTCCTGTAATACGGATCGAATTTAAACTAACAATAACGATGTCGAATATTAAGCAATCATTAAAGTAAAGTACAAAAATACCTTATCAACTTTGTACAAAATTAATCGGTAATATATGTTGGCAGATGGGCGTCAAGGAACAATCTGAAGGTTTAGAGAGAGCAATAGATCACATGTGCAGAAAGACCCGTGATCTTCGCAGGCAATTGCGCAAAGCTGTGGTTGATCACGTGTCGGACAGTTTTCTGGAAACTAGCGCACCGTTACAAGCCCTGTACGAAGCAGCGGAAAAAGGTTGGATCAAGGAAGTGGAAGAATATGCGCTTATTTTCACGGAACATGCGAATAAATTGGTGGAGGTAAATAATCTTTACATAAATATATGAAAATAAATGAGAGAAGAGTATTTTTACAAACGTGCTTTTTAAAATATCTTAAATATATATATAATAAAATAAAATTATTTATTTTCTTTGAATAGGTTGCAAATCTAGTGTGCAGTATGTCCAACAACGAAGATGGCGTAAAAATGGTGCGTTATGCTGCGGCGCAAATAGAAAATCTATGTCCACAAGTAATCAATGCTGCACGCGTATGGGCTGCACGAAACACGGATGTCGCGAAGGACAATATGAAGGTATTCCGCCAGGCATGGGAAAATCAGATGCGCGTATTGACGGAGGCCGTAGATGACATTACCACGATCGATGATTTCCTGGCGGTTTCTGAGAATCATATATTGGACGATGTCAACAAGTGTGTCTTAGCGTTACAAGTACGTCCCGGTGACGCTGACACCTTAGACAGACATGCGGGTGCAATACTTGGCCGTTCCGCCAGAGTGTGTAACGTCGTGCAAGCCGAAATGGACAATTATGAGCCATGTATTTACACTAAGCGAGTTCTTGAAGCAGTGAAGGTTCTCAGAAAACAAGTGATGCCCAATTTTGAGCAACGAGTGGAGGAGGCTGTGAATGCTCTTCGCAGCAATCCAGCGCAAGAAGTGGACGAGAATGATTTCATCGACGCGTCTAGACTGGTGTACGATGGAGTTCGTGAGATCAGGCGAGCTGTGCTGATGAACAGGGTAAAGAAAACTGTGAAAATTTCGCAACTATTCTCTTGTTTGCTATTAATAATTTATCATTATTTTTCAGGCGGACGAGGACTTGGATCCTGAAGATGTGGAACTGGATGAACATTACACTTTAGAAACACGTAGCAAGTCTAGCGCTCAGACCGGAGAACATGGTGTAGATGAGTATCCGGAGATTAGCGGTATTACGACCGCTCGTGAAGCGATGAGAAAAATGCCGGAAGAGGACAAACAGAAGATCCTGCAACAAGTCGAATATTTCAAAAGCGAGAAACTCAAGTTCGATAAAGAGGTGGCGAAATGGGATGATGCCGGCAATGACATTATCGTTCTCGCTAAGCACATGTGCATGATTATGATGGAAATGACGGACTTTACTCGCGGTCGAGGTCCTTTGAAGACTACCATGGATGTCATAAACGCGGCGAAAAAGATCTCTGAAGCTGGCACGAAGCTGGACAAACTAACTAGACAGATTGCTGATCAATGCCCGGAGAGTTCTACAAAGAAGGACCTCTTAGCGTATTTGCAACGCATAGCACTCTATTGCCACCAGATGAATATTACGAGCAAAGTGAAAGCAGATGTGCAGAATATAAGTGGCGAGCTGATCGTCTCTGGCCTAGATAGTGCAACCTCTCTCATACAGGCTGCCAAAAATTTGATGAACGCTGTTGTGCTTACAGTAAAGGCTTCTTACGTTGCATCGACAAAATATCCACGACAATCCACGGTAACGGTAGGTTTCGTTCTCATTTATTACTTTCAATTATAGTAATAACTGTCTCACTATGCTAATGATTAATATGTCATAAATTAATAGCTATTGCAATTAAGTCAATAATCTTTCATATTTGATATTATATTTATTATTATACCTTTCTCAAACTTCATTAACTGGTTTAATTATAGAAATGTAATAGAAATTTTAATTAAATGGTTTTATATAAAATCAGTTGAGAGATATATTAGAATGTTACACAATAGTAAAAAAATTAAATATTTATTTTTAGTATCATAAAATTGTATGGTTACTATAATTACTAATTATATGATTTTATAATATTTTTTATTCTGTACACTGACATTTATGGATTTTTAGTATGTAAGTATATGCTATTTTATATGTGTGTTATATATGTGATATCTTAACAAATTATTCATGCACAAGTGTTATAAAATATCTTTACAGTTATATTATATTATACTATTAAATATTAGAAAATATAAAAGTTTATTAAATATCATATATATAAATATGTTAAAATATAACACATGTTGATATTTAATCAATATGTTTATTAACTGAAAATACAAAATTAATAATAAAAATAAATAGATATTTAATATTTAATATATTAATACATATTTGTCATATATATGTTTCAAGTTAAATATAAATCTCCTAATATTTAATATAATAATACATATTTGTTATATTTGTGTTTCAATTAGTCTCCTATCGTCATATGGAAGATGAAGGCTCCGGAAAAGAAACCGTTAGTACGTCCCGAGAGACCCGAAGAGGTGAGAGCAAAAGTACGTAAAGGTTCACAAAAGAAGGTACAGAATCCTATCCACGCACTTTCAGAATTTCAAAGTCCTACCGAGAGCGTATAAGCTCTGCCGATGTAAGTGAACGAAAAAACAGAAGTAATGTATTAATATATATATACATACATATAGCATCACCTTTTAAGAGTTATGTAAGGCCAAAATATTTTATTTTCGATGAAGTTTAAAATGTGAACGATATAGAATGTCTGTCGATCATTCCATGGTACACATGAATATACAATTTAAGTATGGTAATTATTAGTTTTTAATCGAGAACAATAATCAGTAATAAAAGCGAATACATAATCCCAAGAAATAACCAATGCAATTTTGAGGAACCGAGCGACTAAAAAAAATCAGTAGGAATTAAGAAAGGTTGAGAAATATATACACAATCATCATATTCAATCTTACAGTAGAGGCGGACAAATATCTATTCCCGCTCAGTCTCGACAGTCTTTGTCATATGTCTCGGACGAACTCGCAAGTGAATAGAGTGAGGGTGAGATAAAGACTATCTTCTATGATAGGAACCGAGACCTTTCGGGACTTGGACAGATCGAGACTTTTGATTCCCGACGATTCCTAAAGTTGAGATGATCCAGCATGTTACGTGAATGCAATGTGTGAGGATAGGAAAGATTCTTCCCTGCTCCCATTCCATCTAACAGAGCATCGAGACTCGAGATCCTGCTCGCTTCCTGCGAGCTTGTATTTTCGGTAATATTTCCGATAATATGAGTATCAAGAATCCAATCTCGCTGGCGGGAACGAGCGGGAGTAAGAGATTTGCCCGCTTCTATCTTACAGGGGCACAATTAAGTATAATAAGGATTTTGTGTTATAAATCATATTTATTTGCGAGTTTGAGTACAATATGATTGTATTTGAGAGTTTTTACTCCCGTGGATAATGAAAAATCTTTACATTATCTAAATTTTTATAACTATAAAAGTGATACATATTTTACTCGTACAACAAATTACCAGATCACTTCCTGCATATTAATTTATTTTTCGACAATAAAATATATTTCTTACTGATTTATATTATTTTATACAACTATATATTAGTCATTTTTATCCTATATATATTTATTATTAAGATTTTTTTAATATCAATATCTTGGACGTAATAGCATAGATTAGAAATATATCTTTATGTAAAAAAAAATTTTTTCTTTTCATAGTAAAATCTATTATTTTTATTTTCTTGTGAAGAATTAAGTTTACATAATACGAAGTTAATGAAACTGATCATGGATTGACACAGTATTGTATCGAAATAAAGAGACTGCAGATTTTAAAATCTTTACTATATTAACTTGTATATAAGTAAATATATTATTATATAGTTACGGGCGAATATTATTTTTAATTTTTGTATTATAAGCTGAATGAGTAGGAATTTGTGGAAAAAATAAATTCCAATTCTTATTCGGTTCATATCGTAATGATAATTTCTTTATTATCAATTTTATTTTGATAAACATATATCAGAATTGATGCGCGTTATATATTAATTATATTGTACTCCATACAATGTAATATTTGCAATACAAGGAAGATTTCAATTACTTGAAAGGCCAAAAGAAGAAAACCAGAGAGCAATATATATTCAGCTCTATATATATTGAATAATTGTTTATATCATATATGTGTATATATATATATATATATATATATATATATATATATATATATATAACTATAAATATATACGAAATGTTTTTCGTATTTTGTAATATACAGAGTTCTCCAAATAAGATATATATCAAGTATTACAATTATACATTCTCAAGTGGTTTCCCCTAAAGTCTATAAATAGAAATAATGGAGGAATGACGTAAATATAAGAATTCTACGCAATTTATGAATTATTTATTTTTTCATATAATTACATATACATACTTTCTTTTATATATAAAAATTTATATTTTATTTGATTAATAGAGCAAGAGGAATTGTTTTGAGTATCATTCATAAGTTTCATAGTTTAATCTTCACATGTTTGTGAAAAAATGCAAAAAATGTGTGGTATAAGATTTATATATTCAATTTATATTAAATTATTATTCACTTTATTATCAAAGTAATTTTCATTGTCTGTCTACATTAACTATGCAACAATACTATCACTTTCGATTCGTCATAGGGTGCATACTATATTTCAGTACTCTGATACATATTGTTACAATACGTTGCCCATTCTTGATAGCTACATAAAATCGAATCATCGATTATACGAAATAGATGCCAATATGCTATGTAATAAATTGATATTGCCTCATTTTTTATTATTGAAATAAGTATTAACGATATTATATAATTAATTTTAAGATTGAAATACTGTAATCAATATGCTGCCAAATATAAGGTGATGCTTTTCTCATAGTAATGACCTATTTATTATTTAACATATGTATTTATTTTCATATAAAATTATCCATATAAATATACTCAAGTTTTCTCATTATGATATGTGGGACAGAAAAGAATGGAAATAAAATCTACATTTTAATACATGTATCTATATTTCGTTTTATGCTATACATTAAATGCTACAAGGAAAAAAAAGGAGCAGGCACAAGAAAAACCACAAATGCAAAAAATTGCTAGAAGTGACAAAAAACACATTATACGTTAAAATAATATATATATGAATATATAAAAGTAATATATCATCTATTTTGAATTAATGTATATATACTAGCTATTTTACAATCCATATATGTTGCATTGCACAGAGTGTACATATGATAAATGTATAATAACGCGGAGAATGACATACTTATCATTCTCTTAGAAACGTGACCTAACATGAAAATTATATTTTTATATGTCATTTTGCTTTTGTACTTTTTTTTTCTTTTGATTAACATAATGCTAAAAGGAGATATAGTTATTCTCGTAAACACGCAAATAATCAAACTCTCACAGTATATTCGAGATATATGTGTTCGCATTGGTTACTGTATACATATAATCAGTATTATACGATGATGTATGACTATCATTTATTGTAGTACTTCGTATTGTACGAGAAGATTACAGCTGCACAATTTACTTAAATCTAGAATAACCTAATATTCTTAATATATGTTGGTTAGAGATATCAATATATGCAAATGAGTTAAAAGGAAAGTGATGCATAATAATTATCAAAGATTCGAGACAAGAGATTTTAAGAATTATAAGAATTTATGCGAATAAATCATGCGGCATTTGTAAGCAATTATAAATCTCAATTCGGAAATCTATTGTGATGCAATCTCTAATATCATATATTATATAACATATAAGATTGCGTTATTTAAAAATGTTAAGGCAAAATTAAATTTGTACAATTTGAACAATGATGAGAGATATATGTGGGTACACTTATATATATGTATATATATATTTTTTTTTCACATATAACGACTGACTTATTTATATAATCTCAAATAAATCGCATCTTTATTCGCATATGTTTTTTTCCAGATAAAATCAATTCATTTTGAAAATCTTAAGACAAAAAATTTTACAAAGACATTTTACATGTAACAGAAACTAGATTTTCTTTTTGATCAATAAATCCTTAAATATAGAATAATAGTCGACTATTTTTATTAATATCAACGGTATATCTCAGTATTATGCAGTATAATATATTGCAAACAATTTTCTATATTACACAGAGCCTAGATTATAGCAGTTGTAATAATTAAAAGATGGTTATATACGAGGATATCGGGTATTAAAGCTGACGTTTAAAGAATGGACGTGAAATCAGTCTCTGCTTTAGATTCGCATTGATTTGATTCTTTTTTTTAAAGCAAAATTCGTTATCTCCTTGTGTTACCTTCAATTTGTTAAACATAACATCGTAAAATATTCGATTATTCTTAAAGTGGCGCATTGTCTTTTTTTATCATTTTTATTCTTCCGACAATTAAGTCTGTAACTGAGCGTGTATAAGCTTAATAATATTTCTTGTATAGAATAAACAATAGGAAAAGGTATTCTAAATTGTAAAAGTACTAATGTAATGTGTCCCATATATGTGAATATTCGGTAAACTTAATAACGCGCTGTTTTTTTTTCTTTTTTTTAATAATCACAGTTTCTACGTTCATACTAAATCAGGGTTGTGACTAAAACAATGTGCATATATTCACCATGTATAAAGTATATAGAACGCAAACACATAACAATATATAGATATCTCAACATATAGATCTTATTAAAATTCGTACACTTATTCATAATCATTAAAAAGAATGGCAGATATCACCAAGTAAGTAAACACTAATGCGTTTTAATCGGTATTATAATCTTGGATTGCAAAAAGTTTGATTTTAAATTTACGATTAAAGGAATATGTATAATTATAAGAGAATATATAATCTAAGATATATATTCTCAAATTTCAAAGAAAAAATTTTTTTTAACATGATGTGATTTAGATAATGTAATTTAATTAAAAGTTATTTCAAGTAAAACAATTATTTGTAAGAAAACAAAAGATAGAAAGTATCAAATATTGTATAAATATGTGATGTGATATCTACTTTCGTAAAGAATGAGTATACATGTATAAATATATATTATGCTAAAGCAAAAGTCAAATCAATCTTCTTGCTATTCAAGCAGATTTGAAGTACATACACCATTTACTCTATTCTCATATTTCACCGATATTACACTACAACCTACAATCTCTAAAATTTCGAAGTAGCTCATGGAAATTGATTTAAAAAATAAGTAAACAATATCCTGATTTTCAGTGTCACTAAAAAGAGTCATAAAAAGAGTCCCTCACAGCCTAAGTAAGACTTTCACTTGAGATCTTTAAGTTTCTTGAATGAATGCTGAAGCAGGACTCGATGTGATAGTTTTTGGATATATCTGTCTTATGCGAATTTCTAAGCGAAACGATATATTTGTACAAATTATAATTCTGATTTTCCGATTGTACGCTTGCAATTATGTCGATTTATCTATCGGAAACGAAATATTTGTTACAAAGTAACATGATATCTTCTGATAATACATGATCATGGTACAATATGTCCTGCTAACGATTCCGTAAATATTTCATTCTCTCTGCTAATAAGTATTACAAAGGAACTCTTAAGGAAAGTTTTCATTGGGCAGATAAACATCAAGCTGTAAAACACTTCTCTTCAGGCTGTAAAAAGTTTTACAATTGCTTTACGGCTTGATGAAGAAGATGAAAAAGTTTACTCTCCAAGATGATGGAATCTGATCGAGACATATGTATAAGATATGAACATAATTTACAAAACAATATGTGTGTATGTTTCTCTTTGTATATACAACAATACTTTAGTAACTTATAAGACTTTTTTCTGTTTAAACGATTCATGCGTTCTATTCCTTCTGTTCTTTCAATGTGTATAAATAAATTATTTCCGTATAGATGCCATAATTATAATTTATATAAATTAAAAATGTACTAAAAATATCTGCCTCCGCAAAAACTTGTTCTCGATGTAGACGGCATTGAACAAGAAATATAAATTGCAAATTTTTTTTAACAAGTGATTTGTTTACACGATCGTCCGTTAATATTTTTCGGCAAAAAACATATACATAATTACCCCACGCAACATCACGTTTGATATCTTTCGTCTATATAAAAATTTCGGTAGTGCATTTAAGTATTTCACCCGGAGATTACGTAATTAATATTACGTTTGGATGACGCACCGCATACTGCACAGTTCGCGCTCTTTATCTCTCCTTATCTTTGTACGTACAGTCACAGTCATTGAACTTCTAACACGATCCACTTAATATACCACTGTCTCAGATTAGAAATAGTAAACTCTAAACATTACGTGTAGCCCGATTTTACGTGACTTAAACAGGGAGGGACAAGAAAAGAGATACATAAGATTTCTACGATGGTTCTGTAGCGACTGTGGTTTCTGACGATGTACTTACAGGTACCACAGTTGATTTGCATGCTGGAATAAATTCAGCTGCGTCTGGATTTAGCGTGCTCTAAAAATTCCATCAATAGTGATATTAATAATAGATTGATAAAGATTTCTACCTCTTTTTTTCCTGTCAAAACATCTTAAAAGCCAGAAAATATGTTGGTTATTACCTGTTTAGCGAGATCATCGGGCATTCTCAGATTGCTAAGTTGTTGACAAAGCTCAGCGGCATTATTATCAGAAGTGCCAGTAGCTGTGGACCAAGCTGTAGAATTCATATTCCTCTGGTGTTGTCTCTCTTCTTCTAACATTGCTTCTAGACACTCCTCCATCAATTCTTCCTCCTCCAGTTGTTGAAGTACCTATGTGCCAAAAATAATCCCATAGAATTTATATATTGTATATTTAATTAAATATTACATATATATATATATATATATATATATGTGTGTGTGTGTGTGTGTGTGTGTGTGTGTGTGTATGAGAAATTTTTGTTTAAGTACGTTCAACTGGACTAAGGTCATTGTTCTAAAAGTCTTAGTTTAGATATTTCAATTGTATATGTGTATTGCAGAATATATATATAAAATTGGAAAATTTTACATTTACAAAGAGAAAAGATAGTACCTGTTTATCAAATTCCTCCTCGTTCTCCATCCACAGATATTCTGAGAAATCACCATCGCCTATACCTTGCACCTCGGGCTCTGTATCGCTGTTATTGTCCATGTAAGAAGTGATACCTGTTTCGTGGCCGTAATAACCGCTTCCGGATCCACCGTTCGGAATCTTCATTTTCATAGCCAGTATGTTGAGCGACGTGCTAAAAACGATCACCTGCAAATTCTCTCTATCAATATTCAACATCATAGGTAGGGTTGGGAAAAACTATACTTAAATTACAATTTAACGTTGACCGAGTACATTCGCACTTACAATATCGTCGTATATATACAATCGATTTTCTTTGTAGAGAGATATCGTATTCTTTCCTCGTCGTTTCGCGCCGAGAGATAATCGACAGATAATTACATGTCACGGAAATATATCACGCGCGTGAGGGAGAGGGGAGTAGGTGGGAAGAGGATATAATGTTCAAACAAATAAACAAGCAATCTGGATAAACACACGGAACTCTATCATCATCACGAACCGCGGAACCCGATTGAACCGACTCTGCTTGTAAACATGACTCCGGTACACGATAAAATCCGACGATGTTGCGCACTGTCGTCCCTAAGGGTGAGGGTTGATTCGTACGAGGCGGTGTCCGAAACGAGACGCAACCTTGAAAGCCAACGGTGGAGAGTCAACAAACGGAACGTCCGCGTCGGAGAGCGACACGAATCTCGCGCATATGGGAATACGATCTCTCTCTCTCTCTCTCCCTCTTGGATCGACTGAATCTTCGGGAACAATTTACTCGGATCAGGAGCGAGATTTACTTGGAATTTGGTGACCCCGGTCTCTCCCAGAGACGCTTTAACGGCGGGTAGCGGGGACAAGACACGGCGCGTACGAGATCATCGTCGTAATCGTCGCTTGACAGATGAGGGCGACCATCTTTGCGATTGATGTCTCGTGCTCGTATCGTATCGGCCGCGAAATCGCTCGCCGCTCGCTCGCGCGGGACGCGTCCCCCTATTGTTTATCGGCCGCCAAACGTCGTCGAATGAACGGACCGGACTCGTTCGGACTGTTCCCTGACGGAATGCGGCGCTTCCAGCGGACACGCGAGCGGAACGTACCTTTTCTGTGAAAAAAAACGGCTTCCAGACTTGTCGTCTTCGTCGTCGTCGTGTACGAAATATCTATCGTCGCGCGTACAGATTCGTGACGGGCACGTACCGAAATATACGTGTCGTTCAACGCAAATTCGCGTTCGCACAGTGCTGCCACCGGCGTCGTTATTTAAAGCCCCGCTCGGGAGCGGTGCTGGTAATACGCCGAATTTCACGAATAAACTGTCAAAATTCTAGTACCTTCGAAATAAAACATCTTTTGCATCGAAAATTACAGAAATTATTCTTCGATACGACATGCGAATCATCGACGTAATATGGGTACATTTTACTCTTTCAAATATTATTAATTTCGTTGTAATGTCGTATATTATATAATTTTTTTCACTGTAAGAAAATATTTAAAAAAGAAATTTATAAAAAGGATAACATTCTCTCTCTATTTTTGACAATTAATAGTAAAACAAATATAATTAGGACCATTTAAAAATATTTTTCAGATAATAATTTTGTATATTATAATGAATAAAAAAACATAAATAATAATTACTTAAAATAAATACTTAAAAATACTTAAAAAAAAAATTTAAAAAAGATAACATTTTCTATTTTTGACAATTAATAATAAAACAAATATAATTAGAACTATTTAGAAATATTTTCCAGATAATAATTTTGCATCTTATGATGAAGAAAAAACAAATAATAATTACTTAAAATAAATACTTAAAAATACTTAAAATAAAAATTTAAAAAAGATAACATTTTCTATTTTTGACAATTAATAATAAAACAATAATAAACTCTCAATTATAATATAATAGGACCATTTACAAATATTTTCCAGATAATAATTTTGTATATTATAATGAAAAAAAGACATAAATAAGATAGAAGGTTACCATCTGCAATTATACTCCAGTTAAAAATAATTAGATTATTTCTCGATAGATGTCTCTACAGTAACGTTTACAAAAAGAGTGACGTGACTTTCGTACTAAAAAAAAAAACCTAGTTTGTTCCACGCCTCCCATATTTTATGCGTGAGGGGAGAATGACATTGTTAATCCTTTCAAAAATGGTGGGAGGATACGGTCGCGCGCGCGCGCGCCTGCAAGTGTAGCAATATTGAGCAACCGTGAGCAACTTTCGTTTCGGAGTACGAGTACGCGCCGCGAAATTGACGTATGCACATACATACGTAGCGTCGGCTCGCGCGATATGTACATTTACACCGCGGCGGGACGTGATTGGCCGAGGCGGGCCGCAGTTGACATGCGCGCGCCGACGTGCGTCAAAACAAAGCACGGTAGCGCTGGCTGCGCAGCAGCATTTTCTCGCGGTTGCTCGTGGCGGCAAGTGCGTCGTTGTCATCGTCGTCGTGTCCGCATCGCGATCGCGGCGTCCGTTTCGTCCGCATCTCGTCCATTATTCGCGCCTCGTCTCCCGGCGTCTCCTTTCGCTCGCCGCGAGATTTCCCGTATCGCGTGAGTGTTCCACGTACGACCGGGACAATGTCGTCGACGGTCAAGTGCGCGTCGGACGAGCAGCTGAGCGGTGAGTAAAGAGTCCATAAGGGACAAAACAAACGCTCGGTGCGCCGATTGTCAGACGCGACGACGCGGCCATTTCGCGCAATGTCTCTGCCAGCCTCCCCCTTGTGCCCCTCCCCCGCATCCTTCCTCCATCGCAGGCGACGCGAGCGTAAACAAACGCAGTTTACTATTCGCGATCGTGTATTTTGCATGATGACGCATCATCATTTTTAATCCTTCGAACCGCGGCATGGAAATCGAGGAGGAGGAGGGAGGGGGAGGAGAGAACGATCGACAAATAAAATTTGGCTGACATTTGACGAGTTCGATATTGCATGGAATGATTTGTCTGTTAGTTCGTCTGACAATCCGGCGTTTAATCCGTGGAGTTGAACGTGCCTCCGAAAATTGGCGCGGGTGAATTTTCGAAGTAGTCATGGCGCGATGTAGGCGTTGCGTCGCATCAGTTTTGGCGCCATTTCGAGTTTTCAATCCGACGCGTAACATCTGACGGGAGATTCAATTCTTGATGTCGCACTCGTGAATCGATAATCGCTCTTTGGCTGGTCCTTCGGTAAAAATTGCAAGACGCAAAATCAACTTCACGAAGTACATCGAGCGAAATTTAAGCCCGTTATCGAAATATATGTATATATTATACAGGATGTTCGGTAATAATCTCTCGTATGTAGGTAAAGCGAGTTGATTAAACAGAAAAATTCTGTATCATTTTGTGATTTTGAAATAATTAATTATTAGCACGTGGCAAAAAGAGACAGTCCACTGTCATGTGGTTACTTTAGTAAGCGAAGCGTTGGAAGGAACGCTCTACAAATGACAGTAAGTGTATAATTGTAACACCGTATTCATCCTTTAACGATCGTATAACAACGTGCTGCTTCTTCTAATCGATCCTTTTTAATTAATGTCTCATTAATTATGAAAATCGCAAAATGAAACGAGATTTTTTTATTTAATTTAATCTGCACGTAAGAGATGATATAGTTATTATTGGACATCCTATATATATATATATATATATATATATATATATATATATATATGTAAATATATGTATAAAATATATGTATAAATATATGTATATGTATAATATATGTATAAAAAAAATCGAAATATTAAACAAAACTCTCGAAAAAAATCAGTATTTTTGTAAAATTTTAATACTTATAACATTTTAGCGGTAAATGTTGCTTACTTCTTTATACGAGCAAATATATTTTTTAGAGACCACTTCCTTCGATAAGTAAAACAGATAATACTAGAATATTCATGGTTTTGTGGTCAACAACGCAATTATCTGTGCTATCTTTTTATTCGAAAATAATTGCAAAAATATCCAAATTAAAGTCATGAAATTTATTTACATTTCATACAAATAATTTATCTTTATATGTATTTTATATGTATTTTATATGTATCTTTATATGTATTTTATGCATCAATGCTTTTCCTGAATGTCATACGGTATAATAATAAGATAAATTTGCTAAATATGTGCATAAGATATACAATATTGTAGGCACATGGACGAGCACAAGCTGAATCATTTTTTTCCAATATATCAACATTTTCAACATTTATTATAGAAGTTTGCAAAGATTTTCACACAATATGCGCATTTTTAATTTTTATTTTAGTCAATAAAAAAGACTCGATAAGAAATAGATCACGTGAAATTAATTCTATAAATGTGGCAAAACATGTATTTATGTTTTTTAGATTTATGAATAATTTCTCAAGATTATTTATACAATTCTTTTTTACCAATTTTTTCGAGCACATAATCTTAAACTAAATTTTCTTAATAAATTTTAATAGTTAATCTCTTACAGTGAAATGGGTCAAACTTTTATTAATAATTCACAATCAATATGTCATTCATAAAAATATGCAAAATTTCGAACAATCTCTTTTTCAAGATAATTTTGTATGTTTTATATCGATCACATTTTATTTTTCTCGTGAAAAATTTCACGTCATCAGAAGAAAGTAAGATCATATTAAGATAATTTAACGAAATATTTTTGAACCTTACATTTTCATTCTCTTTAATGTGTCATAATTCTGTGGAGGAAACATTGTGTATTAGAATATTTATAATTTTTTTCCAACCAATCTAACAGAGAAATTATTTGTCTCATGATTTGCTTTATCGCACGTAAATCTCATCCCGTATGAAGGTCACTTGAATTAAGTACACAGATATGATTTCTATTATTGTAAGCATTATCTCTGTTTACTTTGCGAAGACGGAAAAAAAGCACCTGCCTGACGTTTTCATCTCGAGCATGCTGCGGGTTGTTATCTGTTTTCTTTCTCCCGCTGTATTTTTCTCTTCTCTCGCGCATTGCATATTATTATACTTACCATATCTTCCAAAGACGTTAACGTTAAGTACTGTTGTCGTCGTGATAATGAACTATAAAGTAAACTAATGTTCGACGAGAGTAAAAAATTCGAGACTCGACGATAAATTCATTTGCATGTTTCGCAAATTAGAAGATATTTAAATTTTTTCTTTCGTATGTACATCGTATCTCCTGGAAAATTCCGCTATCCGTAATTTTCAGTTTGAGTAGAATAATATTAAATCACATTTTATGAATAATATTAAAATAAAATTAATGTTAATAAAATAATATAAAAATAATATTAGAGTAGTATTAAAATTACTTTGTTTTATTCTCAAAAATTTTTATTTTATGTTTCTACGTGCATTTCCGCTGCATTCACGCGGATATAATCTAATGATTAGATTATAATCCACAACGCGCGTGATTTATTTGTATATACATAGGAAACCAATCATAAATCATTCACGACTTGCATGACAAGACATTTAATTCCAAAGGAAACGGAATTGATTTTGCAATTATCAAATATATAATTGGTTGGTCAGAGATTTATTTAAAAAAGATTTTCATTTTTTTCAGAACAAATGGAAAGAAATATTTTTAATTAATTTTTATGAACGACTGGTATATTCGTTGATTATGAATTAATATCTAAAATGTGGTACGAACAATTATTATTATGCAATTTTTCTTCTGGGATTATTGATAAAATTTTCCAAGTTTTAAAACCGTTGAAAAATTATTTCCTTTGATTTCTTCAACTCTTAGGTCATCTACGCGAATAGAACTGGGTCAGCGTCCTGTAAACTTGCGTGCCTCGAGTATTCTATTTAAATGATTCTGATGAGCCGCTTAATAAGAGTTCATACAGCTCATTCGATTAATTGTAAGATTAGAACCATATCAATGAATATCATTGTTACATCTTTGTTTTTTTTCTAATTTATAAAAGCATTCAATCAACTGATATTTTATCATTGTGATCAGTGAAATTTATTGTTCAGAATAATAATAATTGTTCGACAATCTAGATTTAAAATCACTCGATAAAATGATAATGTTGATATTCATTATCTACATTTTAATCAATGATATCGATAATCTTAAAATCGTCATAGCTCACATAACAAAGGAAATAGAATCGTAACATATTCAATTTCTAATGCGTAGAAATATAAATATCCCCGCCTATTACTTTTGATTATTTTCGTGCGAATCGTGATGCATCGTTCTAATAAACGAGAAAATGCGCGCATAATGTTATCGAGAGAAATTGACGCCACACGCGAGAAGTAAACAAATTGTAGATACATACGTCGCATTTCGAAGTAACTATATCTGGAGGTCATTTCCAAGAAGCATGAGTCACTTTCACGACTCGTTCTTTTACATGATTGTGAACACGCGATCGCATAATTCTAGCGGATCTACGTGATCCTCCTCAGGAACTTGACTCATTAAAGCGACGTTGACCCGAAATCTGTCTGAGAGCATCCAGGAGTCTACGTGACTCCGTTCATGTAGACAGTCTTTTTCTCTCTCTCTCTCTCTCTCTCTCTCTCTCTCTCTCTCTCTCTCTCTCTCTCTCTCTCTCTCTCTCTCTCTCTCTCTCTCTCTCTCTCTCTCTCTCTCTCTCTCTCTCTCTCTCTCTCTCTCTCTCTCTCTTACATCTTCTCTCGAACGATCTCTCACGTACACGTTTCAATGTATGTCAAATCATACAATCGCGTGTAAATAAATAAATAAATTTCAAATCAATAAATTTCAAGTATTCGTATTATGACAAAAAAATTGATATTAAAGTATGAATTTAAAAAATACTGAAAATATTATTATTAATATTAAAATACTGAAAATAATATTAATATTAAATAATAATATTAAATAATATTTAATATTAAATAATAATATTAAATAATATTTAATATTTAATATTAAATAATAATAATATTAAAAATACTGAAAATATTATTATTAATATTAAAATTTTATTAATATACTGATTTCGTGTCATGACACGAAAATTCACATTTTGTACAATATCGCGTCCTATATAAATACGAAAACACCGGCACGTGTTCGCTCATTTACATCTCCATCGGGCTGTCAACGAAAGGATGTTTAATTTAAATCGCAGATATAAGCATACTTATCGGCTGCGTGCACGCCAACGAGCATGGTGTATTAATCGAAATGACAGACGGTCGAGGGGGGAGTCCGTATCTATTTTTAGCCGGTAAGGTTCGTCGCCGGTCCTTAATCCAATTGATTAAGGCTACCCGATGGTGATTCTACAAACGCGACACGTGACAATTTTGTGCCTCAAATATAATGTTGTGGGTATTTTCACGCGATAAGTGCAATAAATGTTTAGAAAAAGCATCGGCGAATTTGAATATAATTATTTACATATATTTATTGATAAGATACAAATTTTTTCGTAGAACACTAAGACTCTTTTCCTTTATAATATACAGGGTAGCCCCGAACGTTCCAGCCAGACTTTGAGATCTTATAGGAAATTTAATTCTGAACAAAAAATTTCCTATAAATATGGGTCGAAAAAATGCTTCCTTAAGAAGTTATCGCTCAAAAACCTATGATGAAGGAAGAGCAAAAGGTGAAAAAAATGAAATAAAGAGAAAAT